GGGGGGGAGAGCAGAAAACCGTCTGTTTCTTCCGCGTCATATTTTCCTTTCGCGAAGGAAAATATTATTTTGCGTGGGAATTTCTGCCGCGCCCCTATCTTTGTTACTTCGCGACCGCACGCCTGCGTTCCTCTCCGTTGCCTCGTATTTCCCGAGGGAGAGACGTAAACAACCACCGCCGCCACCCACCCCCTCGTGGCGCAAACGCAAGGGGAGATAACCCATTGGGCGTACCTCGCCCGTGGAATCTCCGGCGGATTTGAGGAGAACAGGCCGCCGCCGGCACCGCACAGGTGAAAACCGGCGTCCGAGTTCTCAATGCGCGGACGAAAATACGCAGAACCGTCGTCGCGGATTGATTCATCATGCAAACTCTCCTCGCTTGTTTTAGCCGCCGCAACAGCAGTCGTGTTTTTCACCTGCACATCGTTCACGTCGATGCACGGAAAACAATTAACCCGTCAATTCGGCGTGACGTCACGCGCGGAACTGGACAATTTCGATTTTGAATCTCGGCGTGGCGGTCAATTCTATCGGAAGAATATTTCGCATTCTCTTCGCTCGAATAAACGTTCGGCTCTTTTTCAGATTCTTTTTCGCGTCGTTCTTTAGCCCGAGGTCGCGATTTTAATAATAACTTTTGCGGAAATTTCTCGCGCAATCTTTATTAATCGCATTCGACTCTGTAGCAGAGAAAGTTGCTGACGTTGAAGAGGTATTCACTTTGAAGATCCTATCCTGTGATTCACGCTCCCTCCTTCGAAAAGGCTCATATAGTTCTCATGCACCGGCAAAGTACCCCTTCAGTCTGAGAAGACCCCTTCCCTCGAAGATACTAAATTCTCGACAAATCTTTGATCACGACGCGTTAATCTCGCGGGGAATTCAGCTTGGGAAACCTGTTTCTTTTCCCTGCTATCTCTCTCTTTCTCTCCCTTTCTCGACCCATTTCAGAGCACGATGATAGGATCGTAGATTTCTTGTTCCCTTTGAGATTCGCATCGTCTATCGTGATGCGAGTGTGGACGAACGGTAAGTGAGAAACGAAACGCGGCGGTGCGTCGCGAAAGTGCGTATCGTTAAATAAATTACTCGTTAACGTACGAGTACGAATGTGTACGCGTGCAATAACAGAGCACAGAGAAGTACACGCGGCAGAATTGCGCAATAGAAAATTATTTAGGAGACTCCCCCACCTTCGGGGCCGAGCCGAACGCGAAGAGATACGACTGCTGCTCGTCTCACCGCGACGGCAAGAAATAAATTTCACTTGGAAAATTGATTTCTTCTTCGTGCGGTGTCGGTGTAACTTCCTTACTCGCCGACGTCTCGTCGACGATTACCTGAGATTTATCGAATCGGTAATAGCGGTAAAAAAAGCAAATTGGATTTTTCTGCTCGATCGCACCGCCAAGGCCGTCCAGACGGCGGAGAAAGGAGCGGAGGCGCCATTGAGGAGATACAATTACACGAGGCATCCACGTGTTCTCCTCCTGAAAGTCGCCGGGAGAATGACTGTACGCGAGGAGACGATGAATTCAGAAAAAAGGCACGCTTTATCCGCGGATCTGTGTGATGGCGTTACGTATATAATGTGCCATCTCCGTTAATTGCACATTAGGCGCCGCATGAAGGATAAGTAAGATAGTAAAGTATCTTAGATTTCTCTCTCTCTCTTTCTCTCTTTCTGTGTGTGTTTATCCATCGCTATGCACCAGACATCCGCTAATCGATCCGCTAAGCTGTAATTTGCAACGTAAACATTTGCGGCGTGTCGCTCTGTCAACTTGTGAGTCGACTTTCGTAATTGAATATTTTTCTATTCATTCATATATCAGCTATTGCAAATTGTAATTGTAATTTGCAATAGCTGTCACTGGACGTAGGGTTGAACGTATCAAATAGTATGCACTTTGAAGAAAGACAAGAATTAGAATTTATAAATCAAGATTGATCGACAGTGAAAACTGATAATTTTTATTACAATAAATTCTTATTTCTTTCGCTATTATTTAAAGTGTGCCAATATAGTTGGAGACTTTCACAGAAATACTTTCTATGAAACTTTTGCAATTTTTCCAAAAATATCGCTTGCCAGAGGAAAGCGATCACATAGAAGGTTTCGCGTTGAATGACATCGACATCTTCGATGGCGTCGTAAAAACGTAGAGCAACGTCGAACGTGTTGGAAAGGAATGTAAAATTTATAGTCCGGTGTAAGCGGTGCTCGCTTTCATTAAGGAAAATATTTATGCCGGCCCGAAAAACCGTACTCGAATTTAGCTTCAGTGCTGTCGTTCTCGTTTGACTGTTAGGATAAAGATATTTGAACATTTTATTATAGCACTCCGCTCTTACAAAGTGACATTGTAAAAAAAACTGTGACTCCGAATTTTAACTGTACCAATATAATAAGAATGCAATAGTGGAGTAATACAGGGCGATTTACAGTTAAAGCAGATTTATTCGCATGGTCAGCAGCGCATTTACGGGCATATAATTTGAATACATATCAAAATAAAAGCACGTGCGTTGAATTTCAGTTAACACAAACGGGAAATCCGAAATAGAACGCAAATGACGTCAAAAGTTCTGAGAAAATACAACATGTCTGTCACATAAATCTTGATTTTCACGGTTGAGAATAATTTAATATTTCGTCAGGGGGGAACACGATATTTTTTGACGATACTTACGGCGATAATGACGACAATGTTACAACCACAAAGAGTGCCTTCCTCTACGTTACCGATATCCTCTTGTCAGAAAGGCAACGTTCAATTGGAAAATTTCCAAAACGCGTTTCACGATGTCTGCGTATTTTTGTCGTCACATCCAACTCCGATCGTAAAACTTCTTTCCAGAATTGTCGAAGATTTAAGATTTGTCGAATTCACGAAACTACCGTCGCATAAAATGCACGATCGAGTAGTCAAACAATCGTATGTGATAGCAGAAACACAAGAAATACAAAAATTTAATCGATTTATTTATATATATGTTTTATTTACTATTTTTTAAATTATATAAATCTATTAATCCATTAATGTATTACACACATTTTAATATTATTTTATGTTATAATCTATTAGTTATTTAGTTATTAGTTACTCAGTTATTATTATATTATAATATACAATATATTTAAGAGGGTTGTCTAATATAATTAAATAATTAGTATATTTCATTAATATATATAATTTCAGAAGTGACGTTTCTGTTTCACATATCTACAAAGAAGTTGCACGCCTTTTCAATGTTCGCGAATATAAAGGGAGATACGTTCAATCTGAAAACGGAGAAGCTGCGGAGTGTCTGCGACTAAGGATGATGTGTTGGAATGTGAGGAAAAAGTGAGATAAAAATCGGAGAATCTGGAAGATTAGAAGGGGAGAGAAATATCTACCTGCTAACCTAACATGGTCCAAATGTAAAGCAAGTGTGTGGGTCTGTCGTATCATATAAGAATGATATATCGACCTCTTTTAGGGATCAGACAGAGATAAATTTGAAAATGGAAAAGTAGAAATTTTTCCATTAGCTGTTCGTTCACTCGAAACGATTCGCTGTCTCTTACTGAAATTTCTTAATTAAAACATTTATAATACTAATTCAGGGTATCTATTCAAGTTTGAACAAAATTTTCTGAGAATCCTTTGTTTTTCCAGGCAATTTGTTAAAAATTCCAAGTAAAATAAAAATATTTTTAAATGTATATTGCAAATAAATATATGCTTATTGTCCTTAATATTTTCCATTCATAAAAATTTATAAATCATAAAATAAAATTAAGAATCATTCAAATTTCAATAATTAAATTTGAAAAATGTTGAAAGAAACTGTAAGGACTCTAAAAAATAAATATTTTATATTGAATATTATTTTAAAATTTAATTTTAAAAAATTATTTTCAAAGGTTACAAACAAAAAAATATATAATACATAATCGTATTATGCATAAAATGCAACTTTTATCAAATTCATCGATTTCATCATTCACATTTCATAATTCCATCCACTTGAATAAATTATCTGAGATTTCACCAACGTCGGCTAATTTTAGCCGTGCTTTATTCGTGGTTCATTGTCTGTTTCTAATTCCCAAAGGAGATAACTCGATAAGTGGCATGAATTAATAGTGAACGTCACTTCTATCATTGTTCACTTGTCAGAGGTAGTCCAGGAATGTCGAGTTCAGCCTCTATATTTAGGTTACATTGGCAAGAGAATCTGCCCGACAAATTGAGTTAATAATTAACGACGTAATGGTGAGTCGAGCCGAAAATAAGGGACCGATTAGTGAGGATGAAGCCGCGCTGGAGCTTCGCAGACTCCAAGAAGCTGTCAAACGCGCGGCCATCTATCACAGTGGCGAAGGAAAATTTGAGAAAAGGACAGATCTTTCGTATATCGTGCACGCCAGTCTACACGGCGTCCAATTCGTAAGAGATCGGATATGATTCCAAGTATATTTCGCAATTAAGAGTCGGGGTGCGCGATTTAAATTATAAATCCATCGTACTCGAATTATCGCTTGGAGTGAGAATTAAAGACGACACTTGTGAACGACGTCAATTAAATCTAGCGTTCTAATTTTCCAAACTTCACGTCGAGGAAGAGAGAAAATAAGAGACAGCGAAGATATTTTCCAGACGAAATGAATTCACGAAAGCGTCGTGTCTCACTCGAAGTTCAAATATACGTAAAGTGGATAAAATCTTCCCGTGATCTACTTTCCTCGCGCATTGTAGAGGGACGTGACATGCAGTACCTCGAGATAACGTCGCTATCTTTACGTGCCGCATTGTGCATACGCGCGAGGTAAAATAACTCTGTATATTAAATAATGCAACCGAGCGACCTAATTTTTCTTCTTTTTTTTTCCTTTCGACCGGATTCCTCGTCGTCTCACCGTGATTCGGTGTGACGATCTCGCGATAATCGCGGCGCCTGTATTCCTTTCTTTATTATGTAATTGAACACGATGTGGCGCACGACGGACTCGACGATGTAAACATGCGTGTCAGCACGCCTACGTACATACAATGCGAATTCTAATCGCTTCAGGAAGAAGACCGCGGGCTTCTCGCGGTGTTCGATTACCCGCGTTCCATTTCAGCTGACGATTTTGTCACGATCAGTGGAAACCTGCTAAGAGCGTCGCTGTTGCCCGCGATACATCTCACGGGCGCTCGCGAAACAAACGTTTTTCTCGCTTACGCAACACCTTTCTCTGTCAGAATCGAAATACCTTTTCAGGTGTTCATATCGGCCGCTGAAATTTTTCATCACGTGCATCACTACATAAATGAACGCGCGCGAGAGAAGGACGACACGATTGTGGCATTGCCGGAGGAGAGAAATCCCATTTTCTTCCTGTACCCTCTTTACATGCTGGTGAGCCTTTCTCTCGCAATCCTCTGGGTCGTTACAAAAGTACTGGCCAACAGACCCGTGATAGTGAGTTTTTATTTTGAAAGTTGCTTACATAGATTTCGCATAGAAATTTTCCCATATTTACCCTATATAGCTACAGATTCCGATTAGAACACCCAAATGTCCCAAAATAAATTATCCCACTATGATATTAATTGTGAATCCCATTCTCAAACATGGGATAAAGTTATCCCATACCAATTAAATATCAAATTAGAAGGTTAATAAGCGAGATTATATTTTTAACTCTTGGATAACAAGATTGGTCGGATCCAACTGAATCCATATTCTAATATTTCCCCGAACACACTTTTAAATTTTATTATATTTATATAAAATATTTAGGTATTTTACATATGATGCGATATATTTTATTTACTTTTGAGTTAATAATTAACGATGACAAGATTTGTTCGACCATTCGCCTATCTACGTTAAATAATTGCGCGTCGTCATAAAAACGAATTCGCAAGCCTTTAGCAGCATGCGCGACGGGGGCTATCCTGATGCTAGTGACAGGGATAATGGAGATGAAACACGCAGATGTGTACATCGATATCGCCGAGTTCACCGACGAGGAATTATTGGAGCATCCTATCTTCATTCATAATTTTGTGATGTGTATATTATCGATCTTCGTTATGACTATGTTTTTGCTCCAGACTTGGCTCCTTTTCGACTACTGGCAATGGGTGCGTGAGTGTGAACAAATAAAAAAAAATTCGATATTTCACGAAGTATTTAACATCGAATAATTACATATTTCGTAATATTCTCTAATTCACTTTATTCTAATTTAATTCACTGACTATTAAAAAGTTCAATCTTAAGACCGAGAGATGTATGTTTGATAATATATATATTTATATATTATCAAACGTCATATTTATATATTATCAAAGATTATATATTTATATATACTCATTCGAGTTTACCATTATTAAATTAATTTTGGTTCACGAACTAACTTTCGCGTACTGGCTTCCCATTGGCCTTCTGTGTTTGCTTTTCTTTTTGATCGAATATCAAGGATTCTTTAATTTTGTATTCGATTTTCTTTACCGTTGTACTACTTAATTAGATAAACACTGTGGTGACACGAAATTATACACAATTCTATAGTTTCGAAAAGAACGAGATCTTTCCACTACAACGAGTGACACGTCAAGTTTGAGTTCTAGCGTGGACACTGACGTAACTGAGAGTTCCATGGTTGAAAAGAGGATCGATGAACGCGAGTTCAAAAGGCAGGTCGTAGAATTGGCACCAATTCCTACTTTCGAAGACTTGCCTACCCCAGTTGTGGTCACCGATGACATCGTAAGAATGATGACCACTGTCACCTCACATGATCCTATCGGTATCTTAGAACTTGTAATGAATCAGATAATTACCTGTGACAAGTGGAGGAAAAGGGGACGTTTTATGTTCGAAAATAAGACGAGCGTTCAATTCTACAATGTACACAGTACAGAGTGGCATTGGTTGTTTCATTTCTAAAGTTACCGGATAATCAGCGAGAAGTTTCTTAGGATCGAACTGGAAGGAACTCGAAGGATTCTTAAAAAGATAACACTTGCACGTTTCGGAAGAAAACGAGTTTAATGAGCAGTTAAAAATAAAGGAATCTTCCCAATTTCGGAGATTTGATGATAATTCGCAAATATTTAATTTTCAGGATGAGGATGAAGAGCCAATCCTTTATTGCTGCTTCGTCGATTGGTACAACTATATTAGAGTAAAAATGGAAAGTAAACCGAAGCACGAATTCCAAATAGTTCACGTCATGTGATGTTTGAGAAGTAAAAGTTACCGGCAATTAACGGAACAAACGAATTGGAAAAATAACGATTGCTGGTACATTACGTTTTATCGTACTATCGTCGTAGTCTTCGAACCGGTATCCATCGCGCCATCTTAAGAGACCTTGTTAAACGTCAGTCCATAGAGCTGTTCAGCTCTACGAATAAAACAGTTGGCTCGTAACTAGTTTGAGTTGTTTATAAAATAAATGTACATTTTTCTCCAGCGCGCAATATTTTCTCAGTATAAGACATTGTTGTCGATTTTCGAAATCCATTCATATAATTTGGCGTTAATAAAACAATACATTTCGTTATATGTTTAAATTTATATTGCGTATATTGGTTACACGAGATAGAATTTACTAATAAATATCTGTTTAATACATCATTAAAACATTAAATTATATCGTTAAAAACGTGCAATTAAATTATTTTATGTGTCTTAAATACACTAATATAATCTGTCGATTTAACAAGCTGAAAAGTTATCAACTATCTTTCAGCAATTATTTTTACGATATTACGATAACGATTCTATGATGTCAGAGTTCAAATAGCTATCGCTCGTACAGCTGATTCATAACGCTGCGAGATAAATAATCCGTCTTATGATTAAATCCTATAATCCAACTTCTTTCCAAGAAATGATAACTTGATATCAGAAATCATTATTTTTGCGGGAACAAAGTTTTTAACAGAATAAAATTCTGTAGAGAAATTTCGACTGTTTCTTTGTATATTCCAGTATGATATAACAATATTTCTACAAGGTCGATAACTTAATTATCTTTAATTAAGCTAAAAGTTAATAACTTATAAAATTCATTTAGTTAAGTTAAAAATTATATATATAGTTTATCATATAGTTGTTTTATAGTTTATATAATATAGTTTCTATTGTAAACAGCCCAGAGCACTGATATTGACATTGATAAATTATTTTAACTCATATAAAAAAAGTTATATAATAAGTTACTATTAATGCATTTTAAATTAATTACTTTAAGTTAACCCTTTGCACTCGAGGGCTCCGGAGCGGAGCCATTTAAAATTTGTCTTCAAACTCGAGGGCTCCGCTATGGAGACAATGCAAATAACTTTCAGTTCATAACATAAGGACAAAGACAAATCGTAAAAACTATTGTGTATAGGATATTCCGCTTTTGCTATTTGCATTTGAGTTTGAAGAGTCTGAAGACAAATTTTAAATGGCTCCGCTCCAAAGCCCTCGAGTGCAAAGGGTTAAGATTTTTTCTGATATTCATAAAATGTAATATAATTCAATGTAAAATTTTCTTACCAGCAATATTTGTTTTTAATTATATTGATGTAAATAAGAAACAACATTTTCCGCGTATTGAACGAAACAGCGAGGGTGTGCCAAATTCACAGCGGTCTCGCAAAAGCGCACGTTGTATCATAAGTAACCAGTGAAAGGAGGCTAATGGATGCGAACATGAACGGTCGCGGATAATTTGCTAGTAGCACGTGTGGAAAGACGACTGCGTAGTACGAAGAGCACAGGCGAAAATAAAGACGACGAAAATCTGACGCGCGAGTGAGTCTGGTAATTAGATGTTAGAACGGTATACATTCTAACACAGACACAAATGTATCTGCCTGTATTAATATAAAAATCACTCTCACATTTATCTTTTGTACACTAGAAATTAACCGTGAATCATTATGAAACGTCAGCTTCTCATGTGTTATATTGTTCGCACCATGACGATACATGACGTAATCGTATAACAAGCAAACGTGATGTCACGCTCGACGCGTAGAATCGACGTAATCATCGGTCCGATTCATGGATTCTCTTATCTCATGGATGATATTTTATATCATAAGGGAAAGATCGGACATTAAAATTTGACATTAAAAGTTCACACTAAAATTTGAGGAAAATTTTAGGAAATATTCCCCGAAAATATCAGTAACTTCCTCATGAGTCGAATATTTCAGAACCTCTTTTAGAAACTTCACTTTCATATTATACGATTTTATAAGCGTATCATGGGACTGTACAAATGTCAGTCGCATCCTTCCGTTGATAACACTTCAGTATCGTTTTTCATGAAAAATTATGTTAGCGTCTATTTATATAGAGATTTATATAAGCAGAATAGGGAGATATATTCCCCATCGGGTTAAACTGTGGGCAAAATGAGCGTCACTGGACTATAAGTTTACGAGTGTACACTCCACCCGATGCGTGAACACCATAATGTTGAAGCCGTTGCGGCGTGTTTCCGTCGATCGTAAAAATCGAGGCTAGCTGACGCGCCTCCATAATGCGTGGTCGGTCTTCAGCATCAGTCGCTGTTGAACCCTCGTCTCGCGAGCAACTGTGTGACCGGTGAATCGTAACGAGCGCGAACACGTAAGTACGCACAACGTGCGCGCCAACGCCTGGTTTGACCCGAATGGACTCCACACTTTCCTCTCTCTCTCTTTCTCTCTCTCACGTTTTTGATAAAATTAAAAACGTCGGAACATTCGCGGGATCTTTAACTGTTTTTGACATCTGCTCTCGGATTCTCTTGTTGCTGGCGTTTTTTGATGTGCTAATTTATGAATTAGTTAACTTTGCCCGATTGGTGCACGACGTTAGAACACAAACAAAAACGTTCGCGACCGCTGAGTGAACATTTGAAAATTTGTGGCGTGAATTTGCNAAAAAAAAAAAAAAAAAAAAAAGCGCGGTCCGCCTCGAAAGGAAATGATACTGAAGGAAATAACCAAATCGGAGTCAAGGCAATGGCGAGCAACGTGAAAGTGTCTTCCTTTTCGGTACAAAAAAATATGTTCCCCTTCTCGAGCGATGTGTGACCGCGATTTACATCTCGATGCCCGATTTTCATCGCTCGGAATCGCGGGTTGTTGGAAATAATAATAAGATTTCGTTATCCATGCCGTCGGCTTTCCGATTTAATTGCGTCACGAAAGATAAACAACTCAAGTGGCGCACACCTTCATCTTAAATGACGCTGCATCGCTCAGATTGGCCGAATTTTATTAGTTTTTTTGTAACGTCCTTTTCCAATTTTTTCAGTTTTTGTTAATATTATCTTCAGTTTCTTTTATAATTTCTACAGTGTGTGACTCGATCAAATAAATATTTCTCTGCTCGTACAATAATTGTTTCAGCATTATATAGATTAATAATATAAAAAAATAATCTGCTTCATTTTGAAACTAACGAAAATATGCCGTCTATTTTTAATAAAAGTTCACGTTTCATATCGCGGTGTCATATTTTCTTATCGCGAGAATGGTCCGACTGAAACATCGTTCAATTTCAGTCCGATGACTCAAACAAACTGATATTAAGAATTCATTCTGCCGCTTGACACACTGACGCTGCTGCTCAATGACGCGATGTAAATATAAGCAGCACATACACCGCGCTATCTTTACCAGTTTCGTTGCATTCTATCCATCTGCGGTATGCCATGGTCGTCACACGTGCTTTCGCTCGAGTCACTCAACGAGGGGTGACGTCAAGTTTTGCCCGAGTGCCAATTAAGCACGCGCTATTTACCTATCTTTAACAACATCGGAGGCAATTCTCCTCGATGCGTAATTTGACGCGATACTTTCACGGTCAACGATTCCACACGAAGCGTTAAACCATTGTCACGAGTGTTTATTTTCCGAGAAAAATTTGCGTTTTACAATTCACGAGTGATCGTAATCTTCTAATACTTTTTAAATATATTTTATTATAACACAATCGTGTGCTCGATCGAGTTTCAATGTTGCGTTTTTGCGTTACGTTCTCATTGATTTTTATATCGCTCGACGAACGACACGAATACGGTGAGCTTAACTGCACGTCCATTCGTAGATAATAACGTTTGCAATAATCTTTCGCCTATATTGCGTGTCTCTTCTAGTTTTATCAACGTTTTGTTATGGGATGTGCCTAATCACGATTCGGCGATGTCAGATTTTTGCGCTTGCAATAATTTGGACCGAGAATGTCAATACATTAATTTCACTCGAAAGCGACTGTCGGCAGAAATTTCACGATGAAGACTAAAAATTCAAATAAAGCAACTAAAGAATAAATCTGGCTAAGTTCTGTGTCTGAATTTTATATTTAAGATTATATAGAAGAGAGAGATAGGACTCGTCAACGACTCGTTACATTAAATATCGCATAATATTTGCAATATTTGATCGCGTATTGTAAGCGTTGGCTGATAATACGTCTCATTGTTGATACATGCATTATTATTTTACAACATATGCATGCCCTCAGTGCGTAGGAAAAAGCACGTGTCGCTCAAGCGTACCGTGTACTTCCGGTTTATTTTATATGACTGTCATACGATTATATCGATTGTCGTGTCTCCATTCCTCCTTATAATTCATTACTTTCCCATGCGACTTACGTCCCATGCTTATAGTCGTTATATTCGCGCGTTCATGTAATGCATCTTCGGGGTTCGCCAATAGACACGTAGTTGTAATTCATTGGATAACTTTGCGATCCCATATGCCGTCTCTTAAAACATGCATTTTAACGGGCATATGTACGCATTCTTATTCATTTCAACAAGTGGTATTATCTGTCTCATTATTGCTTTTTAACTTACAGACCAGACGAAAAATGGCTACCATTACGAGGTTATCGATCATAAAATTCCTTGAGCTGGTAAGTGTCATAACAAAGCAATGTAAGTTGTTGCGTATGATCTAAAATTCGCAACTGTCACACGCAACTGTTCGTCAACTGTCATAGATTTATAAAGTGGAAGGCGATAACTATGAAAATCTTGAATATTTTTTTAAATATGAGAGTGGGGAAAAAATATTTAATAAAAAGATTTAACAGAAAAATAAACATTAATACCAATGGTCATTAACTCGAACTGTAAAATGTAAATTTTTCTCATATCCACATCTAGTGTTAATAAAATATTTTTATTTCTCGAAAATATTCAAAATGATAATTATCGCTTCATCTTATATTTCATTTTCCGAGCACAGTATAAATCTTGATTTTTATAAAAAGCGCAGATAATCAATGCGCAAAAAACGCAATCATTCAAATGACAAACCCAAAACATACGGTTTGAAAAACGTTCAGATTTTACAGCGTCGAAAAGAAATTATCGACGTCGTAAGTTTTTTTTTATTACTGAACTCAACAACCGGCTGTAGGAGATGACAACGTTACGAGATGTGTTCATTAACATAACCGGAAATGCACGCTTTTAGTCGCGGACTCTTTTTTACAGGGCAGCACATCGCGTAACAGCTTCTGCGTAAACCGCTTTTTCTGTGAACCGCGTAAGACGAGTTGCTCTGCCGGGGGAACCGTCTTCTATTATTAGCATTTAAAATCGCGTAAAAATGGAGTTTTGAGAAAGGTTCGTGGATCGATACCGAATTGTATAAATCTGTCGAAGATAGATCATACAACACGTGTTCGCCGAGAGAATCGTACGAGAAATATTATCCTCGAGGTCGCCCGAGTCTCCCCCAAAAACCACACCGTCACACCATGTTCTTGGGTTTATTTTTAACAGCGTTGCGTCGTTTCTTCTCCGATCGATCGACCCAATTTCGAGTCGCTCGCGTCCATCTGTGATCCGGATCGCGCTTTTCTCGACCGAGAAAATCGTCCGCACGTCGCAATCTAAGATGTCAGTAGCACGCGCGCGATATTCGCGCTGCATATCTTTCGCGATTCGTAAGGCAACGGGAATAGAGAGTGACATAATCGGCGCTGATTATCGTACAAGAGCGTTCTCTCCACTCGTTACGGTCACACCGAGTTGCCCGGAAGTCGACCGGTATGAGAGTTTCCGTTAGGATTCTTTGGAACTACGTGCCATAATGCGAGAGACCCTCGGTCTTTTGTGCGCCTTGTATAACGTTTCAAATCGCAGCCGAATCTCCGTTGTGTTTTTAGGCGTCCTAAAATTTCAACTTTACATTTTAGACTCTTGCCACAATTTGCCTTGCATAAAAATGCATTGCAAGCGCAATCTTGCGCTAGTTGAAGATACCAACAATATGTAGTGTAAGTTTTGAGATATCAAGACAATAAAAAATAACGAAGCAGAATTTTTTATTTTGATTTTAGTAATTTTTATTTGTTTTCTGTTTTGATATTGTTATTCTACAGAAGGAAAAATCTCTTGGATTTAATCATATTTCTTCAATTGAAACAAATTTGGAATGAAACAAACGAATATCTGATTTAACAAACAGCATTATTTGGTTTTTCAAACAATAAATATCTTTACATCAAATAATACATTTCTTTCGTATTTCCATCCAAACATTAGATTGGTTGTCACAAGCAATAAATTATTTGGAAGAAGCAATACTATGCTAGAAAAATATTAAAGAACTTATTATTTCGTAGGACAATATTTGATATGTAAAAAGTAATTTTTTTTTACAGAAAACGAAATATTATTTCCTCTAAATATGATATTATTTTTTTTCCATCAAACATAGCTTATTCTAGTGAAACAATAACATTTTCATTAAAACAAAATGATATTTGATTTTAAATTATATCATGTATATATAATAAGCCCAAGACAAACAAACACGTATACTAAATTCAAAAAAACCTTTTTCTCTGTACACCTTTGTTTTGCGTTGAAAACAGCAGAAAATATTTTGTCACGCACGCTCGACAATAAATTTGAAATAAAGCAGAATTGTACGACAGATGTTATCGCCATGTGTTATGTTGCATATAAATGCAAAATATATAACGATGCTAATGTGTATTTTGCACGGAATGAAGAATTAGAGAGATAAATATGACACTCTGAATCGACGCTGATATTGAGATGTATGTGAATGAAAATTTATCGCACTACTTTCTTCAATTCATGCTGCCCCAGTAGATATTTATATGCTGGTAATGTTGCGCCAGATAATGGCACTCCTTAATGAAGAACTGGCTGTAGTAAATGCAACGTATCGCATGTTTATCGACGCGCACGTGGGTGATCCAGCCCTCGGCTTTTTGAGATATACTGTACGCCAGTGTGTTCATCGCGTCAAGGCTAACCGGTTGAATTTTAACGCTGCCGCCACGGTGGGCGCTGTTAGGGAAGAAAATTATATAATTGTGAAATGCAGTCGTAGCCCTAAATTCATTCTGCACTTCTCCATGCATTCCCATAGCATTCAATGTGTTAATATAAACAAAATAATTTAATATAAAAAATCATTTTGTTTGAATAGAAATGTTGTTTCATTAAAATGAATCATGTTATTTGATAGAAAAAATAATATTATATATTTAAAGAAAATAATATCCTGTTTTTAATTTAAAAAATTATCATTGTATGTTGAATATCGTTCCAGTAAAACACAAAAAAAAGTTCTTTGATATTTTTCTAACATACTTCTTTCAAATAATTTATTGCTTGTGACAATCATTGTAGCGTTTGGACGAAAATACAAAAGAAATATCTTATTCGACGTAAAGATATTGTTTAAGAAACCAAACAACCCTGTTTGTTAGATCAAACGTTCGTTTGTTTGCTCTATTCCAAAAGACAAATTTGTTTCAACTAAAGAAATGTTATTGAATTCAACGAAATTTCTTTCTCTGCATAGACTGTTGCTTTATTCGTGGGCGTGGTGACTGCATCCTACTAGTCATGGTTGACGATACGCTCGAAGTAGAATCTATTCTTGCGCGTAACTGTGTTAATGATCCAACGTGCTATATCGAGAGCGATGAAATTTAGGAGTTCCTGACCTATTGTCTGGAAACAAAAGTTCTATGCCAACTGGGGCGCCGAGTGGGCAATATTTTATTTATGATGGTATCGAGAGAGTCGATGTACTCTCCTCGGCTCGACCTAGTTTCACATCGTTCACACCTTCACTTGAGAAATGAAAAACTGTTACCGCTACGGTTTGCGTGTAAAATGAAAATAGAGGATGAGCGAGAGTCCGAGTTTGATTGAAAGAAAGAGAAAGTATAGCGCTTAGTTGAAAAAGAATGTCAAGACGTTATTGTAAATACATATTATTGTCCGCAGGTGTTGGTATGCATCCTTATTGGATTGCACTACCATTCCTTCAACGCGGGAGACCATCACACTGCGATGATAACCATGGGTACATTTGGTGGATATCTGATTATTCTAGTCGGTGCGTTCATCGGCAGCGTGATGGGAACGCCATTGAACCGCCGTATAGTAAGTTTCTACTGTATCAACAATATTGCAGAACATACGGAGTTGAAGAAAAGAAGATATTTGCATATACCTAATTATTTTCGAGACAAATTTAAACGAGTAAAATGTTGCTATATACAAATCGCTTGTATAAAATATATTTTATGTTTGTATTAATATATTATAAATTAGAATATAATGTAATATTTTTTTCTCTCGTATAAGATCATTAAAAAAAAATAGGGTGTTCAAATATCTTTTACACACACTGTTCGTTTTATTAAGCGGAATCCTATTCTTGCATTATTCAAACAATACAATGGAAGCATAGAATTGAAAAAAGTATTACAGAGAAGGGAATTGATAAGAATTTAATGAAACTTGTCCTGCGTATATATTGAAATATTACCTAACTACTCGAGTAATTAGAAAAAGATTGATTCAAAAGCTGAGATATTTGACTAAAGTTGACACTTTTTACACATATTCCTTGAAATTAACATGTTGTTGTTAATTTTTAATTTTTTTAAAATTAAAAATAAGATTTTGACGAAAAACTGTTATGATATTAAAGACTAATATGCAGTTATTTATATACAAATTTTAGAATTATTGACCATTTTGTTTTAAAAATATAGTACTGTAAAGTTTATACCTTATGGTGGTACTCGAAATATATATACATATCAAAAATACGACACGGAGCCTTACAACTTCATTAACAACACGATGATTTTCTTTTTATTAAATGAGAAACGACTTACCCCGCAGGACCTCTTCTTCTCGCTCATCGGATGCGCCCTGTTCATCGCTGCAGGTGCGCTGAACATCGACTTCTTCCAGAAGTTAAGCCACAATTCGTCGTTCCGCGACACCGGCTTGGCCAAGGGATCCATCAGCATCATCGAGGGCGCCCTCTTCCTCGTGGACGCATTCCTCACGTTTCGCGGGGAGAACTGAAACAAACCACCTTTAATTAACGACGGGGACTGCACGACCGGCAATCGGTGTTAACCACATTCCGTGATCGACGACGAACGCGGAATTCTCTAATCTGTAAAGAACGGATATACTGCCAAAGACTTTCCCGACGTGTGTATTGTCCCGAGGACAATACACACGTAGGATGTTAACAGAGGACAAATTTTCCGCGACCGAATAAAAATCCTGCGCATACTGCTCGGAGCTTCGCGGATTTTTCCGAATCGTGCGCAAAACAACTTACGAATCCTTGCGAAATATCAACGATGTTCGCCATTTGTCACGACTTCTCGCAGGATATCTTGCGTACACTGAACGAACGAACAAGGAACGAACTGCGAACTTTCGTTGTTACAATTTGGAAATTGTGTATACAAAACGCGCCGTAACGAATCCGAATAGAACGTTTCGAACCGATTTGCTCATAAAATAGTTTATCAAAGAAAGTTTGTGCGCGTCTAGACGCGAATATACACAGAAAAGTGCTAAATTCAAATAAATAATTACGCCAATACTCCTCAGCAAATTTTTACTTCAATCAAGTAATATTTACTTAATAAATATTTTCCAAGTAAATTATCCAAGTAAAATATTTACTTGATCTAATTGTAAGTAAAACTTATTTGATCCAGATAAAAATGTAATAACAATTATTGAACTAATTATTTATTTGAATCCCAAGTAAAACAGAAAATGACGATAGGATCATGTCAATATGTTGTCAAATAACGTCAAAGTGACGAGAAAATGATTGTAAAAACTCTCTTTTCGATCATTTTTCTCATCATTTTGACGTCACCGTCACTTTCTGTTCTACCTGGGATCTAATACTTTTCTATGTATATATTCATATTACATATTCGTTGTTCGTTCGCTTAGCGTATATTCACCTTTATGAAGGCAAGTCACAAAACCATTCGCTTAATTCGCCGGAGAATGCAGACTCGAAACTGTATCGAAACTTCCTCGGAATAAATTATGTGCTGCACACTCTGTCAATAAACAGATATACAGATTCTCAGTACACCTTCGAGTCGATCGCGTCGCGCTTAACTTAAAATGCGATGCGGCTTCGCAACGGTGCCTTACCGATAATAGTACAAAATGTAACGCGGATCGTGTATAGGAATGGTGGGAGTTGCGTGCATGCACATTTATACGTTTATAAACGCTAATACTAATAAGAAGCGGCAGTCCCTTCGTAGAAGCAGGTCACTTGGTATTGTAAACGTTATTAACGTGCTCATATCGCACTCGTAAGCTTAAGTCCATGTTATCATGTTAGATACGACAAGCAGCTGCGGTATAGAGGTGGAAGAAGAAGAAAAGGACGGTATCATGAGACACTCTTTATTGTACATTCGCGTTCGCGCGTATATCTCGACGCTTGGAACATTCGTCGCGACGATCGTATCCGCTCGCCGTCCTCTCACAAGCATTTCGCGTGTGTATTTATCTTTGATTTGTACGTTTCTACGTTAAGACCTCAACAATAAAAGGAAATAACGAAACAAAATGACGAAAAATATTTTCGCACCTTGTCCTGCCGCCATCGCCGGCGACACTTCCTCCTCCCACTCCGGCGGGAGCGGCTCGTTGCAAAACGCGAAAATATTTGGACGCGACTTGCACGCACGCACTCTCGCTCGCTCGCTATCGCGTTATACAAACCAGACTCAGCTCGTTATACAACAAAACACAGGAAGTTTCACGTGACGTAACTTTTGCTCGGATCTGCATGAACACGTTGCTTTCAGCCATTTTGGAAACGAAGCTACGTTACGCATCACCGCTTTTTTTTATATAGGTATTTGGTCTGTAAATTTCTTTCTTTGGAATCTTCTCAAATTTTAACAGCATGTTAATACATTTTAAAGTAATTAATTTAAATGAAAAGTTAACTCATTAAAAATTAATTTAGTTAAGTTCTACTAAAAATGATTAACTTTTAAACTTAACATTTGATTAAGTAACTAGTTATTACCTAACCTTGATAACATTACACGTCAATGTTATAATTATTCAACAATGTAAATAAAATATAAAATGCGTGATATATAACAGTTACATCGTTGAGTAGGAAATTATAACATTGTTGTAATGTTGCTGTTGGTTGAGGTTTATTGAGTATTTTTGCGGTTTTAATTGAAAACGAGAAGACGATAAAAGAGACTTATAGAAATGTTATAAAAAAAATTATAAAATCATTGGCGAACTAGTGTTCTAGAAATTTCAATACATAAATAATAATATATATATATTTCCAGAAATATTTATTATTTTATTTTAATATAAATATTTCCAGAAATATGCAAAGTACATAATCTCTGACTGATTAATAATGTAACCTGAACGTTTCATATCCTAATTATCAATATGATGTCAAATGACATAATGTTCTATTGATGTTAAAGACGTTATTAAGATGTTATTAAGACTTTGACATCATTTTGCTTGGGATATGTTCTTTAGATATATGTAACGTTTTATAATCGTTTATTATTACACACGTTTAAAAAACATGCATAAAACTATGCTACTTAGTTAATTATTTAACAATATTGTATGTACTATATTTCCTTCTGTTTTTTCGATTAAATGAGTTTTTACAATCATTTTCTCGTCATTTATGTCATCGTCATCTTACGTTCTACTTGAGTCTATAATCAATAAATAAAAATGCGAAAAATACAGAAAAATCATACATCACGAACATTTCTCTAATAGCATGCATTAATGCCCATCTATTGAGGGCGGGGGTATATATTCATAAACGTACCTAACACAGCCTTTATGGAAAACTAATTGTGACAAATTGGCCAGTGATAAATAATAGTTGTATTACTCGTACGAATAATAAAACTACTGAGCAACAATAATTTATCACTGGCCAATTTATCACAGCCAGTAATATTTTTCTCTCCGGGAGGCAGTCCCAACCAAAAGTATTATATATGTAAAAGCGCAAGAAACTATCATTTCTTTATAACTTTTTAACTTACGATTGGCGTTATGTAATTTTGCTTCATATTTTCTCGCTGCAGTGTCACAGCTACATCATAGATCAAGTTTATAAACACATAACACATATTTGTCAAGCTTCTTCGTATTGTCAGCCATTACCATTACCAATAATGTCACGGACCAACTAACTCAAACATTCGAATTGACGAAAATATTTGTCCAAATGCGCATGGAGACACGCCAATCGTAAGTTCGAAACGCGGAATATATCGAGAGCCGAATGAACATCATCGTTTTGTCCTCAATTTCCGACGGACCAGTTTAATCGCAAATAATACCTGAGAGAACAGCAAATCCCGCGCAATCCTCGGCGACGCCGGCGGAAAGAAGAACGTAACGGTCGCGCACGCGCACGAAGCGCCCTCTCGATTCAAGACCTCGTCGACTCGATTCGAGATCTCGTCGATTCGCGGGCGATCGACTCGAGCGACCGCTCTCGCAGCGTCGATAGCTCGTAGTTCGCGAGCCCTGTGTATGTAGCGGAGAGCGTCAGCCAGTGTACGTTGGTGTGGGTGCGGAGCGGGCGAGTGCGTCGCCGTCGCGCGTTCGCACGCAGGAGTACAGTCTCGAGCGAGCTTTATATTTACCAATTACAGCACCGTAGCGCGGTGCGGAGTGTTAAATGTGCGTGCAGAATGTCGAATCCGGGCGGTAGCAGGAGGAACGGCGCCACGAAGATCCGTCTGACGAGTAAGTGCCGCGTACACCGGGCGTTCGTGTCCGTCCCGTCGATGCGTGAAAGTCGAGCGGCACGACGGAGCCACGACAGGCACCGACGAAAGAGAGAGAGCGAGAGAGAGAGAGAGAGAGATCCTCGCTCGCTCGGCCTGTTTTTGTTGTGCATTATTCAATATGGCCCCGCGCCGTGGCTGTCGCTCGCGGGGGGTCGTGACTCGATGGAAACGTCAAAGGGGGGCCCCGTGTGCTGCAAGGATGAAACCGCCCGTTGATATCGCGTGCCCTGGCCAGAGGACGCGAGCCGTGGCTCCCTCGTCCCTTGGTCATGGCAACTCCCTCGGCGGATGCCCCACCGCCACCGCGAGCACTCTCCCCGGGAGGCCGTTGAAAACGTTAATTCCAAATAGTCATTAAGTCTGATGTGTCATCTGAGCTGGCCTGCCGCTGGTGACCTTGACAGGGCCCCGCACGAGGAATTTTCTGGGGCATTGTGTTCTCCTATTGTATTTAACGCAGTTAACTACCGACTACAATGGGGCCCCGCTAAATCGGATTCTCTAGTGGGGGTACTTTAGAAAGAGTACGCACGGCCCCTGATGCTTTCGCATGCCCTTACTTACCTTCTGTATATTGTTAATTATTGAATTTTGTTTCAAATGCCAATGCAGAATCAAAATGAAGGCGATTGATTTATTAAATTAATTTGCAAAGGTATGCTGTAGCTTGAAATTTGTAGGAAATAGATGGTACGTCGAGAAGCAGAGAAAGTATAAAATATAAAACAGAGAACTCAATGATAGCTCAGCATGATGTTAACTCATTGATTATGTTAACACATTAATGTTAATCTGGTTTAGTAGCAACCTTAAGCATAGTGTACAATGAGCAGTAGGAGTATGTTCATAAGAAGTAAGAATGAGAAATTGACCAATCATTTAAATGTAAGGAGAATAATCGATTATGATTGGTTAATTTCTTACTCTCACTTCTTATAAACACATTCCTACTGCCTATTGCAGACCATGTTTTAGTTAGTGAATTCTACATCTTATTGGTATATTCTCTTAGATCTAAAAATATACTCCAATTGAATGCAAGAGTTCATTAATTACAGTTGTTATTAAACTGGATCAATGTTGCCATATAACGGGCCTCATTGTTAAAATAAATTCAATTGCAATGTTTTCGTGTGTTACAGTTTTATGCGCCCGTAATCTTGCTAGGAAAGATTTATTTCGTGAGTACTGTGTTCCATCAGGCATTTAAAGTGCACACATATAAGGATATAAGAGTAAATGATCTATAAAAATTATTACTTTTAGGCTTACCTGATCCTTTTGCTAAGATAACAGTTGATGGTTCTGGCCAGTGTCATAGTACAGACACTTGCAAAGCCACCCTTGATCCAAAATGGAATCAGCATTATGATTTGTGAGTAGCTGCATTTTAAGCCACAAGATACAGTTTGTTCATTTTGTAAGAAAAGAAATAATCCACCGTTATTTGTTCATGCAGATATATTGGGAGAAACGATGGAATCACTATATCAGTGTGGAATTATAGGAAGATTCATAAGAAACAGGGTGGAGGGTTTCTGGGATGTGTACGCATATTATCGAATACCATCCAAAGACTTAAGGACACCGGATGTATGTATTTGTTTTATATTATTATTAAATTTGATTCTTTGCTGTGAATATAGTCTATGTATGTGTGTGTATTAAGATTTATAATACGCGGTATTTGCACTAAAATAAATTTTTGGTCATATTCGAGATATTTATGCTAAAATAATGTATATACAAATATCGAATAATGAGGGTGTAAATATGCAAAGTATACACACACCTAAAAGAATTAAGCTAAAATTAAGTTTGAATTTTATGTTGCATTCATCTCGTGTTTTCGTGAATCCAAAGTAATTTAAGATTTTCACATCAGTTGATCAAACAACGCGTTATTTCATGTCAATATTTTCTCATACTTTCAAAATCAATATTGAATATCTTAATATGTGTCAACTTAAGAGGAAAGAGTGTCTTGTAATTGTGCTTTTTTCTTTCCCTTTTCTTTTTTAGAATTACTTTTTGCGACATGTGTATACTTTCAGATCAACGATTGGATTTATGCAAGGCTCATTCCGACGACACAGACGTCGTAAAGGGGCAAATTGTAGTGTCCTTGTTATCAAGAGACGGTCACAATGGTGCAGTGAGCAATACAGTCTGTCATAACGCAGTGGTCGATGTGCTCGGAGATCTAAGTTGCCCGAACGACTTACCGGACGGGTGGGAAGAGAGGAGAACGCAAAGTGGTCGACTTTACTACGTAAATCATCACACGAAAAGCACGCAATGGATCCGTCCTAATGCTCGGTAATATTTCATAACTACGAATACCTTACATATGTGTGTGTAAAATATCAATACCAGCGAATGTATATGCACGAGTGACGATTTTGAATATGCATTTGTAAATGCATATCATAATTGCAAATATATTAACGTATATGTTACGAATATATTTCCGCAGAAAATCTGGTTTTATGATGTTTATATACGCTAATATATTTACAATTTTTAATTTTTCTTCGTTATTATACGGAACGAATATATTTTACCTGACATCGATGCAAACACTGACGTGCAACGTGAGATATATCTGAATCTGGATTATGCCGTAGATTTTTTCTATTATATCTAGATAATTTACATATTGTCTATGTGATATATATATCACTCAGGTTTATCTGTGAACTTTTAATAGAAACAAAATATAAAAATAAAGCTTACATAATATAAAAAGAACATGAGCCGTTCCGTAACGGTTCATAGATTGCTTTGTCTACATAGATGACATATTATACATAGTTTACATTGTCTACACGTAGACGTAGGCTATTATATTTTACGCGTGAACGCCCAACCTTGATCTGAATGATATCATCAATAGGCCTAATGCTATTATACCGACGACACCGGAACCACCCCCATCGTCGGAACCGACGTCTCCCAGTAGTAGCGCGAGCTCGCCGAATGTGAGAAATGAAAGTCCAGCGAGGCATACTTCGCCTGAATGGAACGGCGACGGGACGCCGAGTCAAACTCCCAGCCGGGACAGCTCGGCGCAGAATACACCGAGGAACACGCCGACGCAACAGCAGAATCAGCACAACATGAGAAATATACCGCCGGCGTCGTCCGTGAGAGAACGACGCGTGGTCAGAGGAGCCGATGAACAGAACGGCAATCAAAATATCAACGGAAGGCTGGAACGCGGCCTTAATAGCGGCCAACCGCGAAGGCCTAATCGCAGCAACAGAAATAGAAATAATGTTATGCCAAGTAGCGACAGACGAACCGATCCCCCGCAACCGTCGGACTTACCTCGTGGCTACGGTACGAATTCGATATGAAATTTTTCCTCATCCACTTTCATATGTTCTTTAGGTGAACTAGCGTGCTTGCATGGGAACTTGGTTCCTCTTCTCCTCAACGCTAGGTTGTTTTACCCTAACGGTGAAAAGCGCATCCTAGTTCAGCCGAAAAGAACAGGCCTGTATCTTTTTCATAAAGATATGTTTTGTCTTAAATGTGGAAAGTATGAAAAAGCATAAAGAATGCAATGTGTCCTGTCCTCTTTCCACTTTCATTGTCACAGAACTATTGTCTGTGCGAATAGAAATAAGAAAGACCCCACATGGTCAGGCATACTTCTATTATGTACCCACAAGATCTTCCACCTAGTCTTTTTTTCTTTAGAGTAATTGAAAAGGGTCAAGAAAAAATTAAAAAATTGGAAGAAGTTGCGAAATTAGAAAATTATTTGATTTGCCGAGGAATCTACGCCCGAAATATTTGAACATTCGGGCCCTGCAGGTATATAACATGTGGCGGAAAAGCTGCGCAACGATGATGTAACAATAACGACACTGTCATTAAAAGTTACAGAATCAGACCTAGATTCATCGACTTGATAAATCGTATAATTTTGTGATTTCGCAACTAATTACCAGCGCAGACACTTATTGACGTCTTCCAGTTACTCGAGGATGATACATCGCACTATATACTCCTTTTTTATGCTTTCTACACCCTTCTTTTTCTTTTACCACCCTTTTTTGAAAAGAAACATATATTATGTGAACGTGGAAAGTATGAAAGAGCACAAAAAGTACAATGTGTCTTGTTCTTTTTCCACTTTGTATCATTATTACGAAACTTGTCTGTGCGAATAGAAATGAGAAAGACCCAACAAGGTCAGGTATATTTCTACCATGTACCAACGGGATCTTCTACCTGGCACGACCCAAGGATACCGCGCGATTTACAAGCTAATGAATTGGCGAGTGAACTCGGCCCTCTCCCCAGTGGGTGGGAAATGAGGCAGACACAAAGCGGACGGGTGTATTTCGTGGATCACAACAACCGGACAACGCAATTCACCGATCCCCGACTGTCCAGTCAAATCATCAGCAATCTCTTAAAGTGAGTATAGAGGATAGATGTGAAAAGCGTGATTGTCAACTCGGGAGATACAACACGGTATTACACTGCCGACAGTAGAAGGCAAAATAACAACGTGAACAACCAAACGACGAACAACCCGAGCAATTCTACGACGAGCGAAACCGCCGAGGCGGACACAACAACGAGTACGCCAATAGTCCAGTCTAACACGCCGCAGCAGCCGACGAGGACTGAAAACGGGAGTAACAACAATTCCCCGACGAGTGAGTAATCTCCAAATACTTGAAAACTCGCTTTCCCATCAATGACTCTACGGGCACTTTGCGTGTGACAATCCGATTCAGCTTAGTTTTTACGCGAGCGCTAAAAAAAACAAACGTGTTTACTCGGAAGAAGATACGTTCGAATCAGAAATGCCTGAATCAAAGCCGAAAAGCACCGGTGATGCTAGGCTCGAAGCCTTATGTAAAATCTTATCTCTAGTTTATACGCATCTTACATATTTGATAAAGAAATATATGAATCACATAATCAGCTTGCTTCTACATAAACAAAACAAAAGATCGCGCCTGTGTGCGTCTCACAGTTTTATCTTATCTGCGAGTGCGTCTACCTGAACGGTTAGGTTTCATTATAAAAATCTGCTCTTTGTGCCTTCGCTTTCCACACTATCCTTCACACTCTTTCTCCTCCCCTCCTCCTCGTCCACACATGTGTCCTTCCACCAAGTCCAGATCCTGCTTCATTTCAAGTACCGAGAGGACTGAGAACTCGGATAGAAAGAACGCGCGAGACCTTCAGTCTGAGTCGTAACGTCGAGCTGTCAACCTGTCTTTTGTTTGGAATTAAACATGCCGTTTCACTTCGGAAGACTCATGCTTCTCAGGAACGGTAAAAATCGGGGATCTTAATCTCGTGTATACGTGTGTGAACAGTGCGTGATACACATCTCCCTTTCGACGTGTTCGTGTGTGATAAATCCTTCGCGCTTCTTTGTTTTTCAGTGGAAAATGTGCGACCGCAAAACACGCAGACAGTGTCGGAATTACCCAAGGAGCTTCTGGACAACGAGCTTCTGCCGAAGTACAAGCGTGATCTGGTGGCGAAACTCAAGTGTCTCCGAGCGGAATTAAATGCCCTTCAGCCTCAGAGTGGCCACTGCAGGCTTGAGGTGTCGCGAAACGAAATCTTCGAAGTGAGATATTGTTTACAGCGTGTTCTCTTTGTTCTCTGAAGTATTTCGCGCAGCAAAGCGATCCGAGAGAATGCTCTGCTGGGTTCGACGAGTTACACCGCGTTCGTAAACGACGTCTCGTTTTTACAGGAATCATACAGGCTGATAATGAAGATGCGCCCGAAAGATATGCGGAAAAGACTCATGGTGAAGTTTCGCGGCGAGGAGGGTCTCGATTACGGCGGTGTAGCGCGCGAGTGGCTGTACCTGTTGTCACATGAAATGCTAAATCCGCAATATGGACTCTTTCAATACTCGAGAGACGACAACTACACGCTTCAGATCAACCCGGACTCGGGCATAAATCCAGAACACTTGTCGTATTTCCATTTTGCCGGCAGGATCATAGGCATCGCTGTTTTTCACGGCCACCATATCGACGGTGGTTTCACTACTCCGTTCTACAAAATGTTGCTTAACAAGGCTATAACGCTGAGCGATATCGAAGGTGTCGACCCGGAACTTCATAGAAGCCTCACGTGGATGTTGTAAGTGATATATCTTCTTCCGTTTGATTACTTATCTCCCACGATTAAAGAGGTTGTAAGTTGAAGAGAGCTTGATAAAAATTCAATGAAGTTTGCATCATGTATGCATTGAAATATTATCTGACTACTCGTGCAATTAGAAGAAGTTTGACTATTTGACAGCTGAGATATTTGTAACTAAAATTGATATTCTTTATACGTCTCTTGAAACTAGCTTGCTAATTTCTATTTTTACTATTTTCTACGGTCAAATTTTAATAAAAAAAAACTATTATGATATTAAAGACATTATACACATTATAAAATTCAAAATTATTGACCATTTTTTGTTTTGAAAATACAGTGTTATAAAATTAATAATTTATAATAATATTTGAAATACATAAATATATATGACCAATTGACGCATAAATAAAAATAGCATTAATAAGAAAAATAAAAAATAATATTGAAATGTTCTATAAAAGCCAAAGCACAGCTCTGCTATGCTATTAAATATTAATATTATTCATATTAATGCATCAGTAAAGCCATTTCAATATTCTTTCTTCGGTTAGACCAACATATATACAGGATGAATCACTAAGTACTACAGGCTAATATTTCTGAAACTAAATGAGATATTTTTATTCCGATATTTTTCAGTGTGAAATATGAAATATTTCATAAAGTATTCATATATCAACTTAACACTTTTGTAGGTAGAATGACAGGTGAAACGATCGTTATAAGCAAATCTAGAGAATCTTTAAAAAAAAAACAATTCATTGTAATTTGTAAATGCATCGATATACGAATTTGCAATGATTAATATCAATAATCGATTTCTCTCATATTATTATGTAGAAATGTGTTAAGATAATGTTATCGAAAGATAAATATTTTATGAAATATTTCATCTTTTTCTATTCAGGCTTGAGTTTAGCATATTGAAATAATCAATGGAAATCAGCATGGCAGTCAGCGTGTTAATTGATACGTACATGCTGCTTCGAGGGCAGTTACTGAAATTGTGAATTTACCGTAACTTTACGTTATCAGGGAGAACAGCATAGACGGCGTATTGGACGCTACATTTTCCGTGGAACACAGCAGCTTTGGAGTGTTGAAGAATCACGAATTGAAGCCGGGCGGTAAAGACATTCCGGTAACGGAGGAGAACAAACGGGAATATGTCCGTTTATACGTCAACTATCGATTCATGCGCGGCATCGAGCAGCAATTCTTAGCGTTGCAGAAAGGATTCCACGAACTGATCCCTCCGCTGTTACTAAGACCATTCGATGAGCGCGAATTGGAATTGGTTATCGGTGGTCTCGGCACTATCGACATCAACGATTGGAAAATGCACACTCGGCTCAAGCACTGTACACCCGACACGCCAGTAGTGCAGTGGTTCTGGCAGATAGTAGAGTCCTACGGCGAGGAAATGAGGGCGAGATTACTTCAGTTCGTTACTGGCAGTTCCCGAGTCCCATTACAAGGATTCAAGGCTTTGCAAGGTAGATTTTCGAACAATTCAGCATGCCAACAGTTCTTGCGTTCATATTGATATGATTTTAAGTGTTCTGAAATATTCTCAAGTATTCTGAATATCCTAACAAAAAACCTTACAAAGATAAAAATCATAAATACATAAGCCAAAAATCATAAGTACATAAGATAAAAATCATAAGTACATAAGCCGAAAATCGTAAGCAATAAAAAGTATATACGTGAACTTGGAGATATAGATGTTTGAAATTAATTTTGCTCAAAAACAAACATGACATCAATGTAATAAACCATTTACTTATTTATATATGATCAATGTTATAATCAGAATGTTAACATGTTTACTGGTGTCATCCACACATTAATTATTAAAAAATTTATATATACAATTTATATATTACAATTTTTTGCTCTTTCATATAGATAATTTGTTATATTTACTTATGTAGGGTCGACAGGAGCGGCAGGTCCTCGACTTTTCACGATCCACGTCGTTGATGCTCCAAGCGAAAACCTACCAAAAGCGCATACTTGTTTCAACAGAATAGACATACCACAAAATTATCCGAATTATCAAAAAATGCTTGATAAGCTTACGCAGGCGGTCGAGGAAACTTGTGGCTTCGCTGTTGAGTAATAATACGATATATGGTCTTGCAGCTTCGGCATGAAGTTTCCTATATGCTCTAGTGCATATATCTATACATATATATACTTAGACGATTCCGAATTCTCACGATAACATTTAACGGATCTTCTGCTGCCGCTAAGAAGCAAGAAAGTTATTCATTCTTTATATTTACGGGCCATCAAGGAGTTTCGGAGGATCCTACGAGACAGTCTTGTTAGAAAGTGTTAATACGTAAGCTATCAGGGAAATCACATTCTGACTTGTGTACAAATATCTAAATGGCCTTGGCGATCGCTATAACGCATTAGCGATTGCGAATTGATATCTTGCATATCACAATGCGTACACTTGATTTCAATATGATTTGGGCGCCTTTTTCCTCGATGAAGTTTGGAACGATGGTCCAATGAGAGGACGCAACTGCTGGGAATTAATCAAAAACAACTTCTCTCATCAAACCATTGTGCGTTATCTTTTAAATGTAAGTTCGAGTGAAGATCCTGGAAAAATTCTCAGTACGCGTGTACATATCGATCTTCAAATATTTATTGCTCGGTCAAGTGTCTATCAGTTTTCAGAGATTATTCCTTCGCGGTAGATACATTTTAATCAATCTGTTTTCAACATCTATATTTATCGAAGTTTCCATCGATTCAAATCACACTAATTTCATTAAGTTCATCAGAGTTAATGACATTATTTGAATTAGAATGTAAGATGCAGCGTGCACAAGTATTTGTGGAAGATGAAATCTTTCAAAAATTACGATTATTATTATTATTTTATTATTATTATTATTATTATTATTATTACTATTATTATTATAAAAATAATTGTGTACAGAATTTGTATCGAGACGTGAAACTGATAAGATATTCAAGTGTGTCAAGAATCTCAAATTTACAAATGTAGCTAATTGACGATAGAGAATCAATTCGCACATATGTCAATGAAATTCATATTTGGAAGTTTTCAATTCCACTTTATAAACACCATAACATAATGCACAGTCAATTAATTCCATATCAATTATCCGTCAAATAAATAGGATTTAGTGTCGGACAAGAGATATGCAATACATGCGAAAAAAAACTTCGCTCTAGTAGAAAAATGCTGGAGAAATCTAGTATTTTGAGATGTATTATTCTGTGTCTTAGAGGAAGAAATAGAGAAAGTTTGTACATATGTATAATTCTGAACGCAAGTGTTAAATATCATAGTTATTATCTGTCATTTTAACGAAAGTTGTTGTAATTTATAGAGTATGAAGGTATAACGCGATAATAACATCAATATCGAGGGCCGCACCTTTCGTGTATTAAAGCTAAAAGTTCGCAATAATAGAGAGGAAGATGCGCGATACATACATTATATTAAAAATGCTGAACGATTTATATTTTATTTCGCCGGCAGCGTTTCTCACTAGTATTCATTATTTATTCATGAGAATTGATACTCAAAAATATTCCTTTTTTTTTTTTTTTAATTAACACCGGAACGTAACGCTGTAACACTTTCGTTCAGAGCTTTCGCGACGCTATCGGCAAGTACTGTTATTGCCGTGCAACTTACGTGACAAGAAGATCCATTGTTGCTTGTTTAAGAGTCAATATTACCGAGTGCGTTAACACACACATACACATACAAATGATGTAAATAATTTATTAGAGGTTAAGGTAATGGTATATCGTCATCATAGCGCGTTCAACGCGGACCACGCATGCATAGTCGACATAAACAACTCGCGCTAATTCTAACATTGGCAATTTTAAGTTGTGTACATTAATTTTTAACTTTATCTTTAATTTAATGCGTAGTTATTTAAGGAAAGAGTTTATTCGACGGGTTTACGTAAGCTTTTGTAGGATGTTTTGGTCGAACTGGCTCGTTTTTATTTTAGAATTTTGCGAAACATGTCTATACCTTACTAAGCTACCCTTAGTAAGATGTAGCGCTTTTCTTTATTTATCGCATAAATCCCCCTTTCATTTAGTCCATCGCTGCTGCAGAGATGTCTAATGTTTGCGGCAGCATGAAACGTTGTTTTATATACTTACTATCGCATTATTATTATTATTATTATTATTACTACTACTACTACTGCTACTACTATTACTACTACTACTACTGCTACTATTTGTATTATGCACGTAACTGTGATGAAACATATCGTAGACAAAAAACAAGCACTCGAAGTCTCGCGTTTGTTCGGATCGCGGAAATTGGTAACGTGTAATATCTTACGTTCACTTTTACACACACTATATTATTAACCGATGAATATTTTTCTTTTCTTTCTCTGGTAATTCTCCTCCGGAAGGAGACGTCCCCCGTGTATTCTTCGTTGCGTTGCTTCAAGTATCGCCCGTTTTCGATGTTTGAAACACGGTCTGAATACTAAGCATCGCTATAACGGGAATCGTAGCTATTACGACTCATGTAGAATAATACGGATACAGCTCTAAGCACGCGAGTGAGCGCTAACATTATCGCCCACGTTAACTGGACGCTTGTGTAGCAATGTCTATATCTCTATTGCCTTAATTTCTAACGTACACGAACTCTCCCTTTCTCTCCTTCTCTCTCGTGTCTCGTTTCTCGATATCAGACGCAGCCGACCGACGCCTCAATCCGAGTAAAACAGAAATGATGTCAAAGTGACGAGAAAATGACTGGAAAACTCATTTTTCGATCATTTCTTCGTCATTTTCACGTCATTTTCACATCATCGTCATTTTCCGTTCTACCTGGGAAGATTCTACGATGTAAATGCGAGAGAGAGAGAGAGAGAATGCGAATTCATTAATTTTTAACGGGAATATATGCGCCAAATACATACATGTATATTTATATATGTGAAATAATTGAAGAGAAGAAAGTTATTTTCGGTATCTAAAATTTGCGACGGTTTCAAGATTAACACCGGATAATTCGCGAAGCGTCATCTCGAGGAGGTTGGGAAAAATACATAAGAGATTCGATGAGATTTGTCTGTGAATCAACAAGAATAGCGCATATATACACTTCGTGTATCACCTCTGTATCAAAATTGTAACGTTCATCATGAACAGAGATAGTTGAACGGTAATAGAAGAGACGACAGAGCTCTCCCTCGTTTTCCTTTACATATATATCGTTATCTTGTCGATATAGCAATAAAGGCCTTAAAAGTGCCTTGTTGGCGTTGACGACACCGCAAAAATTATACTCATAATATTTTGGGATATAGTATAAATCTTACCACATTCTTTCTCAAAACTACATCTAAGCAAATATACATACGTATGTTGCAACTGTCAGTTCACATTGTGACTATATTAGTGGTTGAGAGAGGAAATGGCAGAATAATAAAAATGAATAGGATTACTAGGATTCAAGAGAGTGGAAGATAGCCAAAGAGATATCCCGGAGGTATCGATGTCTTTTACGCTCGTCGAAGAAAAAAAATTACCCGCTTATACACACAAATCGTATCTCCCGAAATAATCAGAATTATTATGTATAATTTGCAATTCTCAACTACTACTTCAATGCCTTTTTGTAACGCGATATGCGCGTTACGTATGTTATTAATTAATTGCGTTAGACGACTCGATGTTACTGAACGTCGGAAACTCGAATACGTTATCAGAACGCTGTATATACGTATATTTCGCAAACTAATCTTAATAAACGCGATATATTATGTAGGACATTTTGCCTAGTGCAAGTTCACGAAAATATTGTAAGATTGTAAGTTTATATCTCTGTTTTTAACATTTTAATTAATGCAGTCTATCGCTTGGGATGATATTTATTGAATTGCGTGCCGCGAGTGAAAAGGGAGGAGCAAAGGGAAGAAACGAAAAGAGAGAGAGAGAGAGAGAGAGAGAGAGAGAGAATGACAATATTTAGCGTTCACGCGTAAAATACGTACAAATGAATATATTACACGTTGCACACAAAGTAATCTTGCTTGCAAGAGATAACTGTCGCGAGGAAGCTTGCGGATCGGAAAAGATGCGCAAACTTCGACGTATCATACAGCTAAAAAATACATCACGCAAGGACGTACGATCTGTCTTGTATCAAAACGATAAGTGACCTGAGCCGCTTCTTAACCCTTTATCGGTCCACGTCTCGCCGGTTCTAAAGGTTTTCGGAATTGGTAGAACGGAAGATCTGCACGAGATAATGAAGCAATAACTATTTATAAAGAAACGGGCTAGTTTTACTTGTATTTTACACGTATGTGCATTGAAATTTCACAAACAATACAACGATATCGATAAAGGGTTAAACGTTATGTAAAAGGGGAGAAGATAGAAAATACAACAAATAACTTCGCAGTGAATTATAAATACCATTGCTGTTTCTCTAACATCGATTAGCCGACGTTAAAGTATCTCTTAATTTTCACTAAAATTGTTTTACTGATTCTCTGTTTAAGTTCTACTTAATATGCAATCGATTAATGCGAAGGAAAAATTCTTGCAACGGTGACGGAAAAGAAATGTTTTTTTTTTTTCATAAATTAAGCTTTAACAGCTGCAAATTGAAATTTATAAGATTGATTATAATTGTTTGGATTCTCCGTATTTGTAAAATTATCAATGCTATTTGTTACTGCGGGTGTTTATTATTGTAGCGAATATCATATTTGTTACTATCGCCATTATTGCGCAGAACCTTCAGGAAACAAGTGTATATAATCTTTTCCTTTTGTATTCTGGACGAAATGTATATTTTAATAAAATATTCAAAATATGGAATATCTTGTGTAATACGAGGGTGGTCCCTGAAGTACCCGACCCAACAAAGAAAACACAAAAATTTTGGAAAAAAATGTATTTATTTTTCAACATAATCTCCTTTCAGCTCTATACACTTTTCCCAGCGATGTTCAATAAGTTCGATACCCTTTTTATAATAAGAACTGTCTTGCTCCTCAAAATAGCCATTAACTGCCGACATCACTTCTTCATCGTTGGAAAATCTTTGACCACTGAGCCATTTTTTCAAGTTTGGGAACAGAAAATAATCCGAGGGGGCTAAATCTGGCGAATAGGGTGCATGAGGTAGCAATTCAAAGTTTAATTCATTAATTTTGGCCATTGCAATAACGGATTCGTGAGCTGGTGCATTGTCTTGATGAAACAACACTTTCTTCTTAGCCAAATGCGGCCGTTTTTGCTTGATTTCTTCGCTCAAACGTTGCAATAAGTTCGCATAATACTCGCCGTTGATAGTTTTTCCTTTTTCAAGATAGTCAATGAAAATTATCCCAAGCGCATCCCAAAAAACCGACGCCATGACCTTGCCTGCAGATGAAACGGTCTTCGCCTTCTTTGGAGCCGGTTCTCCCTTTTGAGTCCATTGTTTTGATTGTTCTTTTGTCTCGGGTGTGAAGTGATGGACCCATGTTTCATCCATGGTTATGAAACGGCGCAAAAATTCTGCTTTGTTGCTGTGAAACTTCGCTAAACACTCAATTGAAACATCTTCACGACACTGTTTTTGCTCGAGTGTGAGCAAACGCGGCACCCATCTTGCACACAGCTTTCTCATGTGCAAATTTTCAGATAATATGCGATGTACCGCACTTTTTGAAATGCCTACTATGTCTGCTAGTTCGCGCACTTTCAGTCGACGATCATCCAGTACAGCTTTGTGGATTTTCTTCACCATTTCTGGAGTCGTTACCTCATTTGGTCGACCACTGCGATGCTCGTCTTGGCAGCTCGTACGGCCTCGTTTAAACTCTGCTATCCAATATTTTACTGTTGTAAACGAAGGAGCAGACTCACCCAGAGTAGAATCCAGTTCAGCTTTTATATTGGTTGGGCTGAGGCCTTTCAAATAAAAGTATTGTATCACATAACGATAACCAATTTTCTCCATTTTCACAAATTCACTGAAAACGTTCACTATTGATGGCTGCCAAACAAATACTAAACAACGTGGCGTCTTCAAACTTGAAACATATGCTTTATAGATTGTGTACTTTCTAATACAGTGATATTTTTCAAACAACTACCGCCATCTCTAGGTCAGACCGGGTACTTCTGGGACCACCCTCGTACAATTACATAATACGTTTATATGATTATTTCCACAAAACATTGTGAACGTTTCGAAGATATCTTATTTTATAAATTTTTAGACACGCTTTTTATTTTTTGTATATTAATATTTTTGTTTATACATATATATTACTCATATATATATAATTTAATAAATTGTGCATCCAATTTCCTCACTGAATCAATCAATATCCTTAATGACGGTATGCCAGTGAAAATTTATAGAAAACCAATCTTTCGTTGCATTCATAAATCGCCTTCAGTAGCTGCGTTCGGTTTTGCAAATCGGAGACATCGGATTGGCTCTGGTTGTTTCTGGAAAGTTATTTCATTAGCTAGATATTATTTAAGATAATCTTAGATAAAGTAGGCTTAGATAAAGTAGCTTAAAGCTTAAGTCCGCATCAGACTGTCGTTTGGAAATTGAGATTGAATTGAAATTTGACCAATTAGTGCAAAGTTCACGAAATTTCACTAAACTTGAATTCAGTTAACTTTGTACTGATTGGTTAAATTCAATCTCAATCTTAATCCCCAATACGTAGTCCGTTACGGGCTTTAGGGCTTAAAGCATCTATTGTAGACTCATGGCTTCTGCCTACAGGACAGGACAGATGAAAATACTGCGTTCTGATTGGTGCATTTCCCAAATTGAATGGAGACCCACCAATCAGAACTTAATATCACTATAGTGTGCCTCTGGCTTTAAAAAGAACAGGCCACACATGTCTGGTCTAGTGCATCTCTATGTCTGCTAAAAAAATAAACTATTATAATTAGTGGTGAATAGCACGTGATAAGTAATTTACTTCGGCAGTAATTGAACCAGATTTAAGCTGTGCTAATCATTTAATAAAATAACGAAATGTTATAATTGACAATTAATAACAATTAAATATCATAATTGATAATTTATTGTTTAGAAAATAGTGTTTGGCGCTTGCTCGTGAAAGTTGCTAAAGTCACAGATTAAGAAGAGAAAGGGATTAGTCGTGAGTGGTGTTAAAGTCGTATAATCACGCTTATTTGAGATAAAACTAACATAAACCCATGGTGGTAAAACTAAAAAGATCATTATGGCGATGTTCGAAGTGTTGAGAAAAGACTTCAGCGTGAGTACAACGTTTAGAACTAACGATATAACATGCGGAACTTTCGGCTCTTACACTTAACCCTCTTAGGTTAGCGTTGTGTTTACGAAACGTCTTGCTACCTTTCAGGGTTTTCTGCAGCAACATTTTAAGCTGTCGGATGTCTCGTCGTTTCAAAAGAAATGCGTCGAACGTTGCGCGAACGACGGAGACAGAAAAGCGGCGATTGACCAGGCGCTAAGAGATACTCTCTTGATAGTGTTAACAGAGAACTCCTCTGGCAATGTACACTTGCTTGAGTCTTACATTACGTTTTGCATAGAACTATGTAGGAAAGACTTAGCAACAGCGAGCATGCCAGTGATGCTGCTGGGTGATATTTTTGATTCAATGACTCTGGATAGATGCGAACAATTGTTCACTTTTGTTGAGAACAATGTTTCCGTGTGGAAAGAAGATCTGTTCTTCAGTGCCTGCAAAAATAACTTGTTGAGAATGTGCAACGATTTGTTGAGGAGACTGTCACGTTCTCAACAGACTGTATTCTGTGGTAGAATTTTGCTGTTCCTTGCAAAATTTTTCCCTTTCTCGGAGAGATCAGGCCTGAATATTGTCAGTGAATTCAATCTCGACAATTATACAGAGTTTGGATCTGAGAAGACTGAAGGAGATGATCTGGAACAAATAAACAAAGACGACGACAAGTCAGAAAATAAAATACCAATTGATTACAATTTGTATCGCAAATTTTGGGCACTGCAGGACTTCTTTAGGAACCCAAATCAGTGCTACAGTAAGATGTATTGGAAAGTTTTTTCAGCTGTAAGTAATTTCTTTCTATGGCTGGCTTAGTAATTTTACTATAGATCTCTTTCATAAACCTTTGCTACACAGGGTGAGTCACTTAATATAAGCCATTATGTACTTTTCTATATAATAATATGAAAGGAATCTATCGCTGATATTTATCATTGCATATTAGTGCACTACTGTATTTGCAAAACGCAATAAATTTTTTTAATCCAAAATTGTAGGTGTTATTCGGGCGGCTGGTCTTAAATGACTCACCCTATATATATTTGTCTCATAGAATTATGTAAATACCATATAAATATATATCTCTTTTATACAGCATGCATCTAATGTGCTGTCAGCATTTTCGTCCTTCAAATTGGAGGAGCAACGTAGTTATCCCACAACGTGCATCAAGATGGACTCTTCTATGGAAGGTCCTCACAAGGAAACTCACTACTTCGCCAAATACTTGACCAATCAGAAATTGCTGGAGTTGCAGCTGTCTGATTCCAACTTCAGGCGATATGTATTGCTGCAGTTTCTCATTCTTTTCCAGTATCTGAATAGCACTGTAAAATTCAAGGCGTAAGTGTTCTCGATACTAATGCAACGTTATGAATAATACCACGTATTGAAAGATTCACAAGCCCCCTTCTTCACATACACACACACACTGAGTTAGCAAGTTGCTCGTGAACGAATTAGTGAGATGAATAGTCTGAATAGTCATAAAACCATGTTTGTTTTTCAAAGCTTCCTTGCCAGTGGCTATGAGACAAGGTCTGCTTTCCTTAAATTAGATGTACGATGATACATACGTTACCGAGTCACTATGATGTTTGTCACTTTTAAGTGAGACGCACGAGCTTAAGCCGGATCAAGTGGAGTGGGTGAAAACCACCACGGACCAAGTTTACGTTCTACTGTCGGAGACACCACCGGATGGGCCGGCGTTCGCGGAGACTGTAAAAAATATCCTGAAACGCGAAGAGCATTGGAACGCCTGGAAGAATGAGGGTTGCCCACCGTTCAAGAGGCCAGCGTCGGACATCGCCGCCGACGAGGAACCGCGGAAGCCGAAGAGGCCTAAACGAAGAATCGGGGATGTGATCAGGGACGCGCAAACTGTTGGCAAATATCACATGGGAAAGTAAGTGATCTCGGTGCTCTGAAATAGGAAATAATAATTGTATAAATAGGAAATAACAATAAGAAGAAAAACACCAAACTGGTACAGGTATGGTAAACTGACATATCCATGTTTCTTGGTTGTAAAGTATTGAATTCTGTCGGACGGGACATGAATTTTGTCTATTGTGTACTGTAGTTGAAGGTTAAATTGGCAGTTTCTGTTTACAAATACGTTCACTCGTGTTATTAACATCGTTTGATTTTTTTTTTTGTACTGAAGTTGTTGCTATCTTCTTGTGAAGGTTGTCCGCATAAATTTTAATTTTACACTTTCAATAGGGCTTTAGATCCCAAAAACAAATGATATGTCTGTTTTGGTGCTTTGCCTCCAATCGATATGTTCGGGAACGGGTGTACGATTTAAATTTATCTTACTTCCCGATAGTCCAGAACTCACGAAATTGTGGAATCTGTGTCCCGACAATCTCGAAGCTTGCAAATCAAAGGATAGAGATTTCCTCCCGTCGCTGGAAACGTACTTCGAGGACGCCATAGTAGAATTAGATCCCGCCGCGATGGTCGATGATAAATACAAGTAAGCGTTACTCTTTTCTTTTTCTTTCCGCAACAATTGCGATCGTTGATGACATTGTGCTTATACAGGAAAGTGAACGACGGCAATTTCGGCTGGAGAGCGCTGAGATTGTTGGCTAGACGAAGTCCGCACTTCTTCGTCCACGGCAACTATCCTATAAATAAATTGCCCGAGTACCTGGAGACGATGATCAAGAAAATTGCCAAAGATCGCCCGGTGAGCATTCGATGGTCGTTATCTTCCCGTGAATGAGTCTAACTTAGACTCGTTTTTTTTATCACTGACGATGTTCACAGCAGACGCAGTCCGACATAAAGGAGACCGAGGAGACGCCGCCGCCGGAATCCAACGATCAGGAATTCAACGAGGACGTTCTTAAGGAGAGCGAACAAGTTGATTCCGAGAGCGTCGACACGAAAACTAGAAAGTTCAATAAAGTCACGCCGGAGATGGTGGCGAAATTATCAGAGAGCCTGAAGAATGACTGGAAGAAGTTGGCGGCGAAGTGCGGTTATACCAACGATGAGGTATATACGCGCGTTCAGTTTTCTCATCGCAGAAAAACACAAACGTTGTTCGTAACTCGAACGTAACAATATGTATTTTAGATCGCTTTCTTCCAAAGTAAATCAACGCCGTACGAACAATGTAAAAATATGCTCGAGATATGGGCGGAGGAAGACGAGGACGCGTCGGTGGAGAATTTGGCTTACATCTTGGAAGGCTTGAAATATACAGAAGCTTTAGCAGTGCTCAAATCTTAAGTACTACTATACTTCTTATTTATACTTTTTTATATACTTAAGGTTAGAAGTACAATCGTGACAGCTTAATGAAACTATATGGTCGGCGTCATATATGTTGTATCATCTTCTAAGCGGAGAGTTATACGATTTTCAGTCTTATACTTAACACGTAAAGTTGGAAATCGCAAAAATAACTCTATAATGATAGGGTTATAATGGATCTAATTATAATAATTTCAATCTTATGTGTATATATATATGACAAGTTAAAAATTATACAATAGTGAAAAGTCTCCTCCTAGCTTCCAAGCCTTAACCTAGGGAATAATATTTATTATATTTTATTATATATATTCCAATATCTCTCTTATCTCAAATTAAATAACATATACAGAGTATCACGCTGTAGTTACATCATTTTCGTCACTTATCAATTTCGTCACTACACAATATTAANCGATTATCTAAATATAAGAATAGCATGTTTTCCGTTTTCATCTAAATTAAAAATAGAACATGTATCTAAATTGAAGTACATGTACAGTTGCAGGTGATTTCTTGAAACAATGTGCAATATTGTAAGTCGGAATCATGTATATTATTAGTATGTATTATATATACTATTTTCAAGGTTGAGATTTTTTACTATTGTATAATTTTTAACTTTTCATACATATATACATACATAAGGTTGAAATTATTATAATTAGAACCATTATAACTCTTATAACAGGGTTATAATTATAACAGAGTTATAACAGGGTTACATTGTTTCAAGAAACCACCTGCAACTGTACATGTACTTCAATTTAGATACATGTTCTATTTTTAATTTAGATGAAAACGGAAAACATGCTATTCTTATATTTAGATAATCGTAATAATAATAATTAATATTTTAATATTGTGTAGTGACGAAAATGATGTAACTATAGCATGATACTTTGTATATGTTATCTAATTTGAGATAAGAGAAAGATATTGGAATATATATGATAAAATATAATATTCGAAGATGGAGGAGCATGATAAATAATGCGAACCAAATTTAAGTTCACATATATATTGGCGAATAACGGCAATTGTGAAAAATTGAATATTCTTCGAACTCATTAAATCTTCTCATAATCATCAGATCGAAAGTTTCGGAAACAATTTATGTCACGTCTATCGAGCAAACGAAGATACGTACATACTTTGTATTCGCAATGCATCTTGTAAGAATTTGATTATTCATTTTTCTATTGTGTTCGAAAGGTTGTAAGTCTTTTGTTTCGCATCGATATTTATGATTCTGGCGAAGCTTCGATAATCCCCAATCACAATAATATAAGCTCGAATCGATGTGCCGAGAGAGTCGTCGTAAATAAGCCTTCTACTGGTTCGCAGTCCATCGATAGCAATTTCTTCACGTTCGCGTCTTTCGCCGAGCATTACTTGCCGTATTTTGAGTGCTTCGGACGTGCTGCGCGAAAATGATCGTGAACTGCAATATCCGAACATTCATTTATGAAGTCGTTTTTTTTCCTCTGTTTGGTTTTCAATAAATTTGTAAAAAGACCTAGCAAGTCTGCTAACTTTGCGTTGCCCTCCCGGTTAATTGGGTGCAGTGGTTACCACCGTTGAAATAATCGAACTTATCCAAATTTCATAGAACCTTTTTCACAAATTAATTATATGATATAAACAATAAATATATAAACATATTATGTCGTTCTTTTATATTACTATATCTGTTGCATCTGGTTACGTCTATTGAGACGCGCCTGTCCCATCGACGGGCTTCTTCAACGCATGTTGGAAATAAACGAAGGAAGATGGAAAAGGCGTAGGACTCGAGAACTCCCTTTCGTCTTTTATTTAGAAAGACAATAATAAATTGTACAAATAATACAAAATTTGGAAACGAAACACGTTCTCGGTGCAAACTATATCGAAGGATAATCGATTGTACGTTTTTTTTCTGGATGTTACGACGACTACTGACGACATTTAAAAAAGTTCACGGTACGGTAGGAAATATTCGCCAACAAGCATGCTGACAACCTAATTGTACATACATATGATGGCCTCACGATCGATATCTACGTAACTGTAATAAATTATGTTAACGTTAACGGTATATCTTCGAGTTATAGACATTGACTTAGATCCGATTTATGCTCAGTGTAACGCAACGGCCCGAAATACAACTTCTGTAGTTTGCAATCTGAAGGAGGAGAAAGCAATACGTGCGAATAACAGACGCATAAATTATCGTTATACGCGATTGTATCGCGGAGCTTGAGTAACTATTAGAATGTCGTCTCATGACACATATTTCTTACGTAACCAATCAAAGGCGTTACGCGTTTTCTGTTACGCGGAATTCAATTTTCAATATTCTGTATAATGAAACGCAAAAAAGTCGGTGGCGTACTCAATAACCAATCATATCTCACTATCCTCTTAGAATGTTCCGACAGAAATGCCAAAAGTCATAATTAACACGAATTTGTAATACGCTCCATGGGACATATGGAAATGAGTTTTACGTAACGCACATACACGCATGCCTAAAAGATATCTCAGGGGTGTCGTTTAGACATCTTATTGCGTCAAAGAAGTCTTTATAGCGTCTTAGAACGTCTTAATCTTTCTTGAGTGTATTTTCGTATTGTATACAATCTCGGAAGGATCGTGGTCAATTCGTCTTGGCGTATTTCGCGTCTTATCGTTAACAATTAGTCTTTAGCTCTGAAGAATTTCTAATATGAAAATCTCGGCGGTTGGCAGTTTCTTTCTTTAATTTAATAGTGAGTTTGGTCGTAGATACGTAGTAGTAAAGTTAATATTCCTTTTTACACCCGTGTCGTACGTAAACCGTTCGTGACCCACGTTACACAGAGCATAAATCTTCGACAACGAGCTGTCGTCTGAAACTCCTTAATCGATGTGTCTCTTACGTCTAACATACACACTCAATATGTATCAGCTAAAATGTAAATGCAACTTGATCGCGGGTACGAACTTCGTTTAGGTTTACTTAGAGCAGCGTTAGTTAGGTAGTTGCTTCTTTAACGGCCCGCATTTACAGCGCGACGTATAATGCCGATGAACGTGATCATCTGGATTTTGTCCGTTTCACGGTCCACAATAGCTATATCAGCTATTTTGTATCAGGACGTCAGAGAAACGTGGAGCTGTTCTATTCTACGCGCGCCTAATTGAGGACTCGAATTGCAAACCACCGCCAGCTTTAAATCGATCGCGTCGTTGGTCTAGAAACGTAACAGTATGACACCGCAAAAACCGCGAAAACAATTTAACTGTGATACCAAGTGACACCAAATATTGGAATTCGTCAAACTTGAATTCAAAAAGTGTGGAAATTCGAATTCATCAGATCGAGTTATGTTATATTCACTATATTCATTTTAAAGAAATGAGAAATACTCCATACGTAAAATGAAATTACGGAAGATTTGAACTTTTCAAACCGAACCATACCGCACTTACTGTTATTATTTCAAAGGAATGACACACGGTTGAAAAATATATTTTGCATATTCAAGAATATTTTCCGGCATTATAATTGATTTACGGTTACGAGAAGATCTGGAAGGGAACACTAAAGGGAGATCGGACATTTCAGCGATTTTAGAATTAGCACGATTCCGAGTTCAGATCCTCAATTTTCATGATATGGATAATGATATGGAGGGACTTCACGATATTCATTCGCCCGCACTTGCTCGCGTTTGACGTCGTAATATAAAATCGTCGAATGCCGCACCGTGTTCTCCGACGAGGAGAACGGGCCGAATCAGACAGACGGTCGCTTTTAGCGTTCGAGGCGCGCCATAAACGCGGACCTGAGAGTGAATCGAGCGCACGTTGTGTCCGGGGTTTCTCTCGTTCTCGTGCGGCGATCTATAAGTATTTTTGGACGTTTATCGTGATGAGAGGGGAAGGAAATGCTTAACGAACGTTGAATTGCGCGGTGACTTCCGAGCGAGAGCTCGAGTGAGAGCCCGGGGCTCTCGGAAGAGCTGATAGAAGGAAAGGAGTATCCGGTACCACGAATACTCCGATACGACGAAACACTGACGGATGAATATCTAGACAATCAGTCTTCTTTTTATCTTTAAGAAAGTTCAAGAGAATAAGTGAAAACTGAGAACGCGGTAGAAGCGGTTGGCTAGTGTGACTCGTCGCGAGCACAAGTAGTTATGCCTTTGGAATCGGAGATAGAGTTTCACGGATACGAGATGTGACGCGCGACGGCTCTCTCCTCTTTCTTTCTCGCGCGCGCTCTTTCCGTCTTTGCGATATGTATACGAATTATTATTCCAACTCGAGGGATGTGCTTCTCTCGTCACGCCGAAGAAGAAACGCAGCACGCGCGTATCTGCATTCCTATTTACACAATATAGCTCGATTTTTGCGTCGCGAGAGTAGTGCGAATGATCGAAAGAGTGTGTGTGTGTGTGTGTATGTGCGCGCGCGCGCGCGTATGTTCCTTAGTATTGCATGAGTTCCTCCAAGTACTCCACGTAGTCGTTCTCCGTCATCTCGACGTCGTCCTCCAGCCGATCGTCGGCGCTCCGCCGCCTCCTCACCGCCTCGCTCGTCACCTCGATGCAGAGCAGCGCGAATTTATTGTCGCATGAATATCGCACCTGTTCCAGAAGCCGACCGCCGCTCAACGGCGAGCCCAGCCCGTAGCGATCCGAGCTGCTCGAGTGCCAGGCGTCGCAGTAGGTGTCCATCGCTCGGTCGCCGAGTTTGTGAGAGCCGTGCCACGCGACTTTCTCGGGCCTGAAGCGTACGTTTAATCGATTAGTCGGTCGAAACTGTTTGCCTCTGATACACGGACAAGAAAACTCTATTCGTCTAACTGAACTTTCCGAGGGCAGACGAGAATTCGATCGTAGGAACAGAAAGATTTCCCGTAAGAGGTCCCTACCGAATTGTTTTCCGTTATCTCGATCGAATTTTAATCCAGCCGGATGTTCTCGGTAATAGAGAATATCGTTTCCCATCACCGAGTTTTCATCCGGTCGCCGTTCAATTACACGAGATTTCTCCCCGTGTTTCCGAATATCCGCGCGTGGGAGGACCGACAAGTCACCCTCCCTTTTAATCGATCCCGTCCTCTTACCACGCAAAGTCGGTGAGGATGTTCTTCCCATTGAAGCTGTAGATTCGGGGATTCTGAGAGAAGTACGCGCCGTTCCCGTTGAACATCTCCTTCCAAGAGTTGAACAGCACGTCGCCCTGGATGTTGCCAATCGTTTGTTATTTAGCGCATCGACCCGGAGTATTTGCGCGTCGCGAATGAACAGTCTTCCGCGGCGTAATTACCTTTATGTTCACTATAGGAAGATCCCGGTCGCCCAATCTGACAATGCTGTCGACGTTTTGAACACGAGAGCTGAGGAAAGCGCGGAAGGTGCCTCTCAAGCCTGCTCGCCTTGCTTGTCGATAGCAAGCGTAGTCGGCTCCTCGTATGCCGTGCATATCTCCGGTGAAAGGCTCGTTTAATGCAGCCATCCTTAACTAAAAAAGCACAGTTCGCATTTGAGGAGATATTTTCAGTCGTGCAGAGCGCGTAGTACGAATAGCACGAATCTATATCGACACTCTCTCGATCGACATGCATTATTAAGGTAGTTGGTCCGTCAAACCATTTTCTTAAGTTCTTTGAAACTTTAATCATATATCGATGGAAATATCGTCTGTAAGGTGAGAAAACGATTGACCATTCGGGAACTGAGGTATTCGCAACTGAAGATGACATTTTTGATAGGGTCCCTTGAATCAATACCTTTTCTTAGAGACTGATAAACTTTATAATATAAATAAAGCATTAGCAAGGAAAATAAAAATTAAATAATATCTCCATATTTGTAATATTTCCATATTTGTATGTATATTTGTTTTAATTTCGTTCAAAATTAACATTTATTATTTAGATAATTAAATAAAGTAATAGGGAAGCTTTTTCCCAGTAAATAATAAACTTATAAAAGGATCCCTTAATATCGCCATTAAAAATCCGGCACTCTACGAACCAACAACCTTATGAGAAGTACAAATGAAAGGACACATTTCTTTCGTCTCGTCGCTCTCGCGTTCGTCTCGCGCGAGATTCTTAAGAGAGAAACTTTTCGTCACGGGTGAAAAATTAAATATGGCACAATCTCACCATTCGCGGATACCACTGTGGCAGCGTGGGGCAAAGAAATTGCGAATTATACTCGGGAGTGATGCGGATTAATTTCTACAGACGCGCCTCAGACGCGAAATGAACCGCTTAAGTCGTCAACTCACCCCTGTCCCGTCGGCTTTCACGGGTATTTGGTTAATCAAATTGGACGCTTCGAAGGGAGGATTCGCCGGTGGCGGTGCTGTCGTTGGCGGCGCGGGCGTTGTGATAGGCAGTAGTGAGCCAAGCTGAAGGACAGATTAGAAGAGAATCAACCTTAGCGCTCTTCAAAACTGGAACGATGAACTCGCCAACAACTGAGTCGAAATTTGGACGCTACTTTGACGTCCTTAACATTTAGACTATCCAGCTAGTTTCGGGCGTAAAGCCCACGAGGCCCAAAGTTGCAACACGCGCAACCGTATACAAAGTCAGAATGCAAAACTATGTGTCCAATGAACGGATGATGGTATCTAATTCTACCTTTCCATATGTATTCCATATCTCAAATGTTATCGGTGATGTAAATACTCCCGAGAAACTCTGTTGTAATAACAATCACAGTTATGCATAAACTGCTTTCCAAAATATCATGAAAAATATATGTAATTTTTAGCATTTTATAATAAATATATAATGTTAATTTTGTTTTTTTCTATTAATATGCATATTTTATTCAAATGATACTTTATTGCTTTCATTCAATATCTCTATAAATAGTTTATGAAATTATTCCTATTTCAATTTATTAAAACTATCATTTATATATTGGTGACGGGGCAGTCTAAGTGTTAAGGATAGTTTCCTATTTAGATAGCCCAGAGGCTAATAAAAACCTATCAATTGACACTTATTAACTTTTCTCTTAAATCTTCAATTCTACAGATTCAATTTTAACCGCTATCTTGTACAACTTTTTTCAGACATAATCAGAGTCAAATTAGAAATAAATTATCTTATTAGAATTGATATCGCACCTACTTTGCTATCTTAGCTCCCGCATTGTAAAATTAAACGTTTGAGTGAGCGCGGTGCTCGCATTTCACGTCGCAAAATGCCACCGCATCAGCCCGTGAGGTTCGACTAATGGTGCGTTCGAATTTTACCGCAGCGCGTCATTAGCGTTGCCGTTTTGCTAAACTGAAGTTTTTGCTCTCGTAATCTTCGCAGCAATTTTTTTATAAAAAACAAAATAAATAAATCTGCACGTTCTCCTCAAGAATGGCGCTCCACACTTTTCAACGAAATGCATAAAATGATGAAACAAGAAAAACACAATCGTGCCACTCGGCATTTTTCAACTGGATTTTTGCCATGAGCCGCGGCACTCGAACGGTTAAAGATATAACGTAGGATCCAAATTTCGACTGGGGTAACAATGAATATCAAATACTGACCGCTATGTATTGCCATCCGTTGTTCACTCTGACCAGTAAAGCTTGTTCATCGATGATGTAAGCCAGAGTTCCAACCGGACTGACGCTGGACATCTGCAACGTACGAAGAGGACGGAAATGAAGACGATGAAATATCTTTCCTTATGAAGTAAAAAGAAATGTTTAAATAAAAGAGAAAAACGATCGGCAATAAATATTTTGAGCTCGCGCAATGAGACAATGATTTTCGACAGATTGGAGAAGCCCACCTTCGTCATAGCTTCTGTGTTTTGGAACGTAACAGCTCCTGGCACGATTTTCGTTGTACTTTCTAAGGGTCCCCTGGTAGCGGCAGTGGCAGCGCCTTGGAAAACATTTGTGAGTTGATTAGAAAAATAGTTAATAGATATTAACGCGTGACTTACGGGAAAGAAAGAGAAAGAGCTAAGAGAGTTACGTGTTCGCTAAGTAATTAGTGTGCGCCAATTACCTAATTGCTCTTTCAATTCTTTCAGATGCTTGAGTTCACGCAGAGCTTTCAACTCGTCCAAGCTACTTCTGGGTCCTTGCGGCATGCGAGATTGCGAAATTTAATAACACACCATGCCACAATTATCGCCGCATCACGTCGGGCTCCTTAATATCCTTACCTTGCCTGAGGCCATAATAGGTCTCTCTTTCGCCATAAGGGCTTCGGCCGATGCCGGGCTCTCCTTTCTGTCCGATCAAAGACAACCCGGGAGGACCAGGTGGCCCGGGAGGACCTGGGGGTCCTGGAACCGGGATGTATTTCCCTTGAGACGGTGGTCCGGGAGGTCCAGGAGGTCCCGGAGGGCCTCTTTGACCGTCTCTGCCAGTCTGGCCGGGAATTCCGGGCAAACCGTCAGTTCCTTTGTCCCCTTTGATCTAGAAAAAGGTGTTCGTCGCGTGAATAGGTTTATGGTATTTTTCCGAGCGGGCGGCCACGCGCGTGAAAGCGGGAGAGGGAGAGATACCAATGTATTTTCAGTAGCCGGCCTGGCTATCAATCTCCCTCTCACTGCATTACCGCGCCCGACAGTCCGACAGGTAGACAGGTTTATACGGAGTCAGTAAGTAGCAAGGTATTGCAGGAACAGGAGCGGTTGATTCGCTGGAAGTAGCGAAGAATGAGATGCATCGATCGCTTAGACGCGTCACGTCGGCTTTCTGTCGGCGTTCCTCTGTTTCGTTCTTTTTCGCGAATGTTCAGCACGATGGTTTACATGCGCGGGCGAGAGAGGCATCCTGCCGATCGTGGGAAGACGATATCGGAATTCTATCCGACTGTGATCGAGACGAATAGTCCATCTTTGTCGTTATCGATGTTGTACTGATTAGAGCGCCCTCGGATGGACGATGGACCTCTCGAGCGATTCTCGTTCTTGTCTCCGTACTTTGTGTCTTTGTGGAATTTTCATCAAAGAGATTCTTTTTTTTTTTTCAGCGGCATTCATCGGCTCCTCTTAGCGTTCTCTTGGCGGACAGCGTTGTTCAAAATGTCGCGTATACACGATGTGGTCCCCGGCACGAGGGGAAAATATCCGAGGAATTCTTTAACCGACCCCCGAGTCGCATCCCCTCCAATTTTTCAGCGCTGAATTTCGTTCGAAAGCCTCCGAGGATGAAGACTCTTCGCTGCGCGGCATAAAGCGGACCTAAATAAAACTGAATTTAATTGAAAGAGGAATATAAAGAGTCCGCTTCCCATTTGCATTTACAACGGTTACCCACCATCGGAGATCCCGACCTGCGAAAGCTCTCGTCTCTGTAATTAGGCATTATTGAAAAATTTCGATCGGAGGGAAGTTCACTTGAAATTCATCGAAGAACCCGCCCCTAAAGGTAACGCGCGGTAGCTCTGGAACGCTCTGTATAAATTGTTTCGCGGTGTTTTTTCTGCTCTCTATTCAGCGAGATTGCATGTTTGTTTCCACTCATAAAAGAAGCGTGTTATCTCATTATTGTCTTTTTTCCACGATGGCGATCGGTTTTCTCGATCACGGCGCGGGTTGTCGCTCACTTCGACGGTTACCGTAAACGGCTGTCATCGGCTTCATTGTGACAGCCACTCGCATGCATTTGATATACATTTCGATGGTTCGAATGTCAAGGGGGAATTAAACACTGTATTAAATACTGAATTAAACATTGAATCAAATATAATGTACTGTTAATATTATCGCAATTAATATTATCGCAGGAGAATGTTAAATTATTGAATAGTTGACGTAACGACACATGCTCTCGAGCGTGTCTCGCTAGCTGCAAGTCACGTGGCCTCGGGCACAATATATACGTATGTAAGCAGCTGCCAAGCGATCGTAATAGTCGCTGACGTGAAAATCAACATATTGAGAGACGTCGCGGGTAAATCCCGATTTTCCGAATCGTTCGAAATGTGACAGCCGTATCTTCGAACTTTGAGAGTAACTGGCATTTTTGCTCGCAACGAAAGATCGTCGAGATCGTCAATTTCTTAAATTTTTTTTCACACGTGACGGTTGCAGTGTCACTTCAACTAAATTCGATAATGTATTGACTGTTCTTTCGATGACAAAAGATCGTTGAGAAAAGTGAGGAAATAAAGTTACCTTTTATTATAAATGTATCGGCCTTCAGTTTCTAGTAAAAATCCCTACGAACTGATATTATATCTTAATAGGGTAAACAAACGAATATTTAATTCAATAAACAAGATCGTTTCTCAATCAATAAATATCTTTACGTCAAATAACATATTTCTTTTATATTTTCATCCAAACATTACAATGATTGCCACAAGCAACAAATTATTTGAACACAGTAACGTTATGTTAGAAAAATATTAAAAAGCTTCTTCGTTTCAGTAGAATAATATTTAACCGTTACGGAGATGTGTCTCTACTGCGAAACGCATTACATCATACGGCTATACTGGCCCGCGCGCGTATTTCAGAGCAATCTGCACGCAGTTGTACTAGCGACGCTTCTATGTATATATTAAATTATATAATTTAATATATATATATATATGCATAAATAAAATAAATTTAAAACGTTATACGTTTAACGACTATAGTCACTTTTCGTATCCAGTGGTCCTTTCTGTGGTTTAACCGTGGCGAGTGACTATAGTCGCTTGTCATATACGGAGGTTGCTTTATGGCGGGCGACTATAGTCACCTGTTGTAATGAAATAGTTAGTATATAATGAAATAAATTTTTTTACCGAAAAGCCCAAATTCATGTTTCCATTAAATAATATTTTTTCCCGTCAAACACAACATGGTTTACTTCAGTAAAACACCGATACTTCAAACGGAATATGATATTTGACATTAAATTATGTTGTTTATATTAAACAAACCCAAGCCAAACAAATACGTATACTAATCCAAAGAATCCTTTTTCTCTATGTACACACAGTAAATATAAGCTTGTGGTTGTACATAGTCGTCACTTGAAACTTATAATTGAGACAGTCAGATCTGAATTTAGAGTTAGATATGAATTTTTCATCGCGATTATAACGTTGCACATGTCACCTGGTTCAATTAGAAGGCTCAGATCTAGCTCGACGTTGAAATCGAAGTATCGCATGCGAAACGAGTTTCCAATAACGACTATTCATATCTTTAATGCAGTGCATAAAGGTTATTTACTGATCGAAACGCGACGCGAAATCGCATCGCTTGATGGTGAGAGAAGCGACCGCGCGAAGATTGCGTATTTCGTTGGTGCGAAATTATCCGAAAAAAAAACAAATGTCAGAGATCAATGTGGAACGCGGGGCTGGCAGCGCGCGTTTGTAGCATCCGCCATTACATATTTCGAGAGTTTCGGACATTGCAACGAACATTTAAAAGCAATGTTATTCGGCCGTGTCTAGTTGAATACGTACAAACAAGCGCGAGTTCGCGGCAAAGCGAGAGCGCTATCGCGTATCAGTATGCGTTATTTGTCAGTTGTCGGGTCGTGACAGCTCGCGAAACTCCGTGTGAGCGGAGAAAATTTCTGTTCGGCGCGCGGCGAATAAATCCAGCGACGAAGACGAGGGAAAAAAAAAGGAGAGGGGAGGAGCAGGGGATGCACGCCAGACGCACTCTTGCATTAATTTCCATCACGCGTGTCGCGCTCTCGCGCACCGTTGTTCAAAGACTTCCGCATCGTGCGCCGTTCGCAACAAGGATATATGCCGCCACTTTAATCTGTCAGACCGAAACGCCAGGACGAAAGCTGTCATTTTTATTTCCCCCCGACCTTTTATCGTTTCTCCTTTGAAAACGAAGGGCGCGCCATCGTTCCGCCACCGTTAGCGTTGCTCGCCGTTAATGGACCGACGCGCGTTAACTCGCGAGATCCCGTTCCGGCGGTCGCTGCTTCTTTCGGACGCCGTCGCTCTTGATTCTCGCTCTTTTTTTAACGGCCCCTTGGATTTATATGTGAAGTTGCCACGAGAAGTTTATACAGTCGAGGGGGAAAGGGAGAAGAAGAGAGAAGGAGATGTACCGCTACTGGAAGTTATACTTACACCGACGGAAACACCGTAAGGGCTCGGCGTGCCGGGCTCCCCCTTTTCTCCCTTGGGTCCCATTGGTCCGATACTTCCCGGAAGTCCGGGATTCCCTGGACGACCCTACAGAAGACAGTGACAGATGAATTGCTCGTTTGCGTTTTAATTAGCGCGGGGGGATTTGCCTGTTGTGACACGGCCGGCGCGTAATAATCTGATTTCGATCTGCGTTTAAATCCGTTCCTTCGCGCGACTTTGACAGCTAAATTCGGCTCTGATATCCCGCACACGCATTACGTAACATAAAATATTCGCAATTATTTAACCCAGGAATTGCGGAGGACGCGTGTGTGAGAGAAACACGCAAGCACGTGTCGATCGATGCGGTTTGATCATCGTAAAGTGTAAAGCTCACCTTCATCGTGTTCTTCGGTTGGCGTTGCAAAAGAAATAAACATAATGTCAATTTAGAAATGGGCACTTCTAAAACGAGATAATTCATGCTCGATATGCGCTATCGCTGATAGCGTCAAGGCAGAAAGCGCTAAGGCACGATAATTCGATAGAAATTATTTCTGTTTCAGCAATAATATCATGGCATAATTATTATTACCTGCGTGGCCGAATCGAACCAAATTTTTTACATGTTCGAAGTCAAATCGAATCGAATCTGAAGTTTTCACGTCAAATCGAATATCAGTTCGACAACATAATCGACAAACAGTTACAGTTCAACGAACACTTGTGAAATGTATTAAATTTGACACCAAATTTTTTACTGTGTACATGTTATTTACTTTTTTTATATATTTCGTGTGATATGAAAAAAAATATATATATACACGAATATACACATATAATGAGCTAAAATACATACGATCCAACCCGGTAAGCCGATTTCTCCCATGATCCCAGGTTTTCCAGGTGGACCGACAGGTCCGGGTGGTCCAGGTCGTCCTCTTCTGCCTCGTTTCCCTTCGGCGCCTTTCTCGCCTTTGATGGTGACGTAGTCGCCGGAACTGGCGACAGTAGTGGCTCCAGGAGGACCTCTTTCGCCTCTCTCGCCCTTGGCTCCAGGCGTGCCTGGTGATCCAGGTACGCCGTCTGTACCGGGTTCGCCTTTATCTCCTTGAGGTCCTTGAATGCCGTTTATTCCGGGAATACCGGCTGGCCCGGCATCACCCTTATCGCCCTTCTCGCCCTTCGTGCCCTTATCACCTCTGTATCCGCGCGCTCCGAGTTCGCCTTTGTCGCCTTTCGTGCCGAATCCTTAATTAAATAGCATTTTGGATGTTACGCTCCGTCGCTCGTTATTTCGCCGTAGCGAATATCGTATTATTATCTCCGTGGGGAAAGAGATCGTTAGTAACGATCCGCAAACTCCAATCGCTGTGATGAAGTAACATGTAATCGTGTAAAATGTGAAAAAAAAAAACAAAGAATAAAGAAATTATTTGCAGTTTCTCACGACCTTTCTCTCACTACCTTCTCAACTTTTCATCTTTACATCTTTATTCGTGTCCATTTTTCCGTTCGCCTACGAAGACGATGAAAGACAAGCGACGAATAATATAATACAGCGGAATAATAAAAGTCAAGATCGACATTACGCTCAGCCCATTAACTCACCCAGATCTCCGACGTTTATGCCGCCAGAACTGCTCGTACCGGGTGAGCCGGGTGGTCCTGGAGGTCCAGGTTTGCCTTCCGGCCCTATATCGCCCTTATCGCCTTTCTCGGCCGGCCGTCCGTTCTCCCCAGGAGCGCCAGGCAGCCCGGGCGCACCGGGTGCACCAGGCTCACCCTTGAAACCTTGAGTTCCTCTAGGACCTTCTTTCCCGTGATCACCCTTGGCACCTTTGTGTCCAGGTTCGCCCTTGATACCCTTGGAACCGGTTATCCCGGACTCGCCTTTCGGACCGGGACTTCCCGACGTACCCGGCTCGCCCTTTTGTCCTGGCAATCCCGGCCTCATCGTGATACCTTCCGTCTGGTTTCAAGATAAAATACAAATTCAAGTGAGAGCTCGTGTTACATCGAGGAACGAAGAAGCTACGAGAGATAGAACGAGCTTATCGTTATCGAGCGATCATCCCGGAATATTATTGACCGAACTGCATTCCCTCGTGCGATTAAGATACGATTTATTTAATGTTGCAAGAGGGAATTCTCTCTAACTAAGGTAGGTGGTATTCACGGCGCAATCAGAATGCTCCAGTCCGTACTCACCCTGTAAATACTTCGAGGTTTCCAACTGGGCTGCATGCGCATAATAATCGAAATTTCCCCGTTAGATCGTTGGAATAACGCCGCGAAACTGAAAGCCTCGCGGCCGAGCCGACATTGCCGTCTGCACGTTTGCATCGCCATTGATTAGCAACGAACAATCGCTGTCGCGCGAATAATTGTCGACGGCGCGTGATTCGGTCGCTTTATCGTTAATCGAATCGCGATAAAATCGTAAGTGCGAGTCTCGTTCTTGGGTGAGCGAGTTTTTCTCACCACGTTCGCGTGATTAGCGTTTAAATAGGTTGTAAGAAATGAATTTAATAAGAATTCGATGAAACTTGTACTACCTACACGAAATATTACTTAACTGTTTATGTAATTAGAAAGATCATCCCAAAAATTCGTTTCCTTCGTACGGTTAAGATATCCACGCACAAAAGACCAATCGTTATGGATGAACAATTCTCACGATATTCGAAGCGTAATTTTGAAAATCGAACGATTCACGTTCACGTAAAGAATACTTATGAGAATCCTCTTAACATTTTCTCCTTATCTTTCGCGTATCCGCACTTTGAGGCGACTATTCTCTTTCTCCCGTTAGTGCGGCATTCCGCCATAAATCATGTCGCCGTGATTGCTATATACACCTATATATCAACCGCCAACACTCGTTCCCCATCACTCGTCATATCCATTGAGAGCTTCTCACGAACGGTTTGAAACTTTTAGACTTCTTTGACTATTGATAGAGCACCGGTGCGCCCGATATATACACGCATACACACAGCTTCTCCGCCGTCTTCTTTATTCGGCTACATCGGTTATTCGTAAAGATGTCTTCCTCCTCGGTGGGGTTTCGCACAGACCATTCGCGAGAGTAATATTCATTTCCATCTCGCTACAAGCGCTACAAGTGCTACCTTGCCCGGAACAACTTCGTATTGCGTATCCGGCAAATATTAACGGCAATAATTCACTCAATTAATAAACCCGCTGTGCGATCCCTTAATATTAAATTACTAATATAGCAGCACTCTGCATTCGTCATTTCTGTATGTACAATTGATATTTCACGAGACTTGATCGCGCACAATGAAACTGATCAAAATTCCGCGGGTTACAAAATTACGCGACTCCCGGCCATTCCCTCCCCTTCCTCCCTCGTCGTTTTCCCTTCCGCTCGCGGAGCGGAGTCCCAACTTGCGCGTTTGCTCGAACGCACCCACGAATTCGCCTCTATTTTAAAGCAGTTCCTCGCGGTTGCAGCTCGCGGCGCGGCCTTAATACAGTTTCCGAATTTCCTTCCACTCCATTCTGTTCGTTCGAATTCCACCCCGATCGCTCTCGCGTCCGCGTGGAACCGATCGACGGACGGGGCTCAGAGGGAGGAACGGGAGGCTGCACACGCATACATATATGTATACAATCGAAACGTGCGAACACCTCAATCGAGGGTGTACCGGCCCGTCTTCGGCGACGTTCCAGGATGCAACACCCGCGCATCTCGGAGCCTCCCTTCAGCGGGCGTACCGAGCGGTAGGCAGCCTAGAAATTGGTTTCTGTATTCCCCGGGGAAATCGGGCTCTCGCACATTCGAGGAAGGACCGGTGCGCGAGGTCACGTAAGATAACCGTTGCAGTGTGCGTGTGTGCACCCGGTGTGTCTGTCTTTGCATGAACCCTGTCCCGACGACGGTCGTTGATCCTGCCGTGAAGTGTTTGGCCCTTGTTCGCGTGTCTCCGCGAACTGTGCTTACGTACGTACGTGTGTACGTATGCACCGATACGGATCTCACACAGTCGTGATCAATCGTGGTGACGATTGAGCCGCTCACAAACCAAAGCAACTCTGGCGGGTCCCCTTTATTGCCCGATATCATGGCGCAATAACGCAGAGAGAGGAGATTCCGAGAGCGTCCTTGCCCCGCTCAGACGCGAACTGATGTCAATACATAATATTCAAGAGGCGGATTTAAACATTGATACGTCTCTTCGTGTATACCCAGAGAAAGGAACGAAATTGGTCTCGACCGCTTCAGATGAATTTCGCGGCACGAGCCGGGAAAAGGGCGCGTCATTATTTTAATCTTTCAGTGTCCTCTCAACAGGTGCCGCGCGACGCATCAAGCAGAGGATCCTCAAATTGGAGTAAAAAGTAACGCGAGCGGGCCGTCGTGCTTATTCGACGCGTCAAATTTTCATTCGGAGCCCGTCGAGCCGCTCTCCATCCCTCTCCTTCTCCGTTAAATGTCCTCGCGTGTGCGAAATAGTTTAATGTCATCGCGGGAAGAAGATTAACAAACGTGGCTAGCGCGCAAACGGCGCGCAAACGGCGCGCTGGGGCCAACAATCCGGAACATTATAACGACTTGGACACCAGCAGCGCGGCTTCTTGGGGATCTTTATCAATGGAATGCACAGCCAGCACACCAACGGGCATTAGCTGGCAGCGCAGTCCTATTGTCTCGGGGCGTCCTGCGACGCGACGACGTGTATATCCGGACGGTACGGGTCGTAGCACCGCAGTTGCACAGCTCGCGGTTTTCCCCGCAGCTGAGCGAAGCTGCGAGCTTACGTCGTTTTGTTACGTCGTAAAGACGCATATGTCGCGTTTACCGTCGCCCGAATCATCGATACTGTTGCAACGTCCGGATGTTTCGCGCGTACAATAGACCCACGCAGCCTGATTCTCCGAGTCGCTATCCTCTCTCTCTCTCTCTACGTTTTGTTAGAACATGATAAGTCCTCTATAGGAGGGAATTCAGAGGTGAAGATATCGATATTCAATAGCATCGTTCAAGCAAGATCGGTTAAGAAAGACGTTCATTGAGTACATCGTGTCGATATATCCGCATTGTCTCTCTCGTGCTTTTAAATTACATGAATAATAATAATATTTATTAACGAAAAAGCATCGCCCCTTTAGTTACATGAAAAGAAGATACATCGAATTTACATAAAAAGAATCAAGTAAATAGTGTGTGTATATAAATCGAAGTGTATCTAAATAATAATAATATAAAAAGCTTGTGAAAATTATATTTTTTGTATATATAAATCATTTATTTTTAACCTTCGTCATTTTATTCATACACGGAGGCAAAATAACAAAATTGACACGTTTTCAAAAAATTAAAATTAAACAAAATTTTAGTTTATAAATTTTTCAGTTTATACAAATGTCAGGTAAGACTTTTAGCTATTCAGAAAAGAAACAACGTCCCGGCGTATTTGCACCGTCAGATCCATTGGTCGCAATGTACAATCCGATTGCAGCATTCAATTGCAGCTTTCAACGGTTTTCTCGCGCTCTCAGCTCCAACGGCAACATGAGTTTTTTTCGTCGTCGCGACGTCTCAACAATCGCTGCACGCGCTCAGGTCAGGTCGGTCCTCTTTTCCGCGGTGTAACGTTTGGATCTGTGCCACCGGCGGCATGAAAACGACGGGAAACGCGGAATCCCGAATTCTCTCTCTCTCTATGTGTGTTTTTTTCTTCTACAATCCCGCACGCAGCCGAGCTACGGCTGGGATAAATATTGCGACAACGGTGCGCAGATGCAACCGCGTCGGAGGAGGTTTGTGTCGTTGATAAAGCGGAGCGATGCGGCCCGATAGCGCGATGATGTCGTCCTGCGACGACGCTGCCGCGTCGCGTCGCGGCGCCGCCTGCCTCGTTTTTCGCCCGGTTCTCCGTACGTCTCCGCGCTCCTCTGTCGCGAAAGTCGCGTAACAAGAGAACAAGGTGAAAAACGACCGCATCTCCGGCGGTAAATTGACGGTTTGAGACGCGACAGGATCGTTACGTCGCGCGACAGCGCCGAGATTTCTTTCCTCCCGTGACCAGGAGCTGTTTCAGGAATTGGAGCACCCGCGACTTTGACAGTGTGTAGTATCAATCTTAAGCGGATTTAACACGTTTCGCGTGTTACCTGCTGACGCAACCAGACCTTTACGAGAATGAGCGCCCACTCGGAAAGATTCCCGCGAGTCTGAGAAATCAGGAACATCAGTGGAGATGATCGAGAAATTAGAAACGATTTATAAAGAATGCGCGAGAAAAACTATCGAGTCGAAATGTTACTTTGACGCTCTTAAAGGTAAGTTGCGTCTACTTAGACGGCCTATAGACTAATAAAAAACCTACTTTGAAGATTTTGACGTTTTTGACGATAATAATTATAATTATAAACTATAACTATCATTTTCTCTCAGTGTAGCGTTATGGCCGACGAATTGTTCGATCGGCAACACTACGTCGATGCGTTTCCTCGTTACGTCAGCCACCACGAAGCGTTCCATTCGTGGAGAAATATAATAACGGCAAATAACAAGTTTTTTTTCTCTTCCATGTTTGCACCGAGGTCTCTTCATTGTTTCCGTTATTAACCGCGTCTTCTACCGCGTGCTCGTTGAAACATTACAGTTGTAGTTGGAGAAAAGTCGGAGAAGCGGTAACTTCACCTCGCGAAGGTCAGGTCGGCGGGTCAGAGGGGGAGAACAGAGAGAGAGTTCATTTATATCGGGGAAACCGTATGCGGTGCGCCGGGAGATGGAATGGTGCGCGTAAGAGAATTTTTCGAAAATTGCGCGCAACGCTTCCCGGAACCATATCGCTCCGCGTCCATACAGAATTTTCCGCCGAAACTTTGGCCGTCATCAATATCGCACGCGTACGGATGTACCGTTGTGCATCGTTTTAATATTGGAAGCCTGTCAGCCTGCGCGAGAGCGACTCTCGCGACCATTTTTCGTCGGACGGCAAAAACCTACGGGGAGAGAGTTGTTAAGAATGGATGGAGCCAAACTATGAGGGGGAGCGCGGGGGCGAAAGAAAGCGCGAGACGGGGAAACGCGAATATCCGGACGAGAGCTGGCGGGGTTGGGGAGTCGGACTTACAACTCGGCCGTTATTACGTGCACGGTTTCTTATTCCCCGCGGGGCGATACGCGTTCCATTTCCATTCAACGAATTTCTTGTCGCGTCCTACGACGGCGAGCCCGGGATCGTTGTAATAGTCGTCGGGTATACGTAAAAGCCCCCAGAGCGAGGAGAGTACGCCGCGGTGCGCGAGGCGGAGGCGCGGGATACGTCTTGCGCGCGCTCGAAGACCTGCACTTCGAGAGACGTGATGGATAATGTGGCAATAATACCAGTCGTTTCGATAACCAGATATAAATTGGATATTCGCGTTTTATGGCCGGGCGAAATTCCGCGATTAATGTACCGAGTGAGACACCCGAGTCGAAATTCGGCCCTGTATTAAACTTTTAATTCTACGACATAGCAGGAGTTGAGATAGCAAAATAGGTTCAATTTCAATCCTAATAATATAATGTAACCTCTACTACTTTAACTCTGATGATATCTTGCATTTCCGCTGTTTTAGCGTCAAAATAAGTTATTGAGGATAACATTAAAATTCAATCTGTAGAATTCTTTTCAGGGAAGAATTCATGTAGAATTAAAGGTTCAAGTGAGAAGTTAAAAAGTGTCAGTATCGTCAAGGTAGATTTTTATTAGTCTGTAGGCCGTCTAAGAGGCACCTTAAGAGAGTAACATCAAAATTTCGACCAGAATATTCACTCGATAGCGAGATTTCAATATTTCGTAGATTAAATAATGGTTAATTAATCCTTTTTTTCTTTAACAAGGGAGTGATAAATACCGTGGTATCTTTATATAATTTATAAGAAGAAACCTCTAAGCACGGAAATTATACACGGAGAAGAAAAGATTGATTGAATAAACGTGACAATAAACGAACGAAACGCGTTTTCGTTGAAAAGAACAGAACTTCTGATTTTAAGAACCAAATTTGACTCATAAAAACCAGAAATTCTGTTTTCTTTAACCAAAACGCATTTGACGTTTTCCTCCATTATCATGTTAATTCAACTAATTTTCTGCTCTCCGTGTTACATAAGCTACTTTAATAGTCTGCATTGAATAAATAATAAATTCGTACATATTTAAGAGATACACATTTCGTACTGGACTTCCTGCGGATGCGTGCACTGCGTCAGGAAGGTTGCACCACAATTTAACTTTTATTCGTATCTTTTTGATCTTTCTGTAATATTGATAATACGTGTAGCGGCTGGAGTTTTTCGAATAGTAAAACTGTTATCTCGTCCTTCTCAGTTATGATTGACATTATTTGCGTTCTCGCGAATGCAAACATTTTCTTTCCTTTGTATTGTATACCATGTTTGTTGACATCTCTGATATTATATGTAAAAGTCACTGAGTCCGGAGAAAGATTGAAACGTATGTCTTAAATATATATTAATTCATTATTTACTCAATACAGACTATTAAGATAACTTATATAGCACTATAATTTCCACCCTTTAATTCCTAATGGCCTTTCATATTTATTTATTCAATTTTATATCAGCGGTACTTTATTCTTTTTCTTTAACTTTTATTTTAATCTAAATTCATTGCGTCTATCAAAACTTAATTTGCATCGTTTTTCAAACATAAATACAGTTCCAACGTAGCAAAATCATTGTGACACCGAGAACTTTTATTACGCGGAATCAATTTGTCTCGGGAAAAGTATTATGTCGTGCATATCAGCACACATATACATATGTGCCGCCATGTGAATTTTTTCCGATATTAAAACGCAAAAATCTACAACGGTAATCCGGAAATCTGAGTACGTTATGACTAACTGGGACAATTCATGCTGAGTTAATACACTGTGGATGATACCGAATGTGATGTTTAAATAGCGTACTTCTGATAATGGCCCGACGATTTCGCGAGGGAGAAGATATGACCCTCTATTTCCCTCCGAGTTTCTCGCTGCCGCACGTCCGGGAAAATAGCGAATAATACGACTGAGCTAGATTCATACGCGGATAATGAAAATTTCTTGAACGAAGATATTTATCTACTTATTATAGCGACTTCTCGTACGGTCGGGCGCGCTTGAATTTCCGCTACTTCGCAGTAATCGCATACACACAATAAATGTCCTGCTCCAGCAAATTCCTCAATGTCATGTCCCCGGCGTTGGTATCATATCCTATCCCTTCTCCGTTCACCCCCATTTTCATTTTCATGTCGCTGCCAACGGGAACCATCGTTTGCAACGAATATCTTTCCCTCTCTTTGTCTCCCTCTCTCTCTCTCTCTCTCTCTGCCAGATTATCATCCGATATCAATGGGACTCATCAGTTTTTAAAGTATCAAAAGGAATAAAGTTTTTCATGGATGAGTGTTATCATCTATTTTCCGCTGCAACAGCCCGCGCAGCCATTGGTGAGTTAACAATAACAGAGAGCAAATACAAATCTCAACAAAAGTTTTATGTGGGTTGCAAGTTGCCACCGGAAATAGCGGGCATAAAAGAAATCTCGCGGGATAAGCAGAAATGGCGGTGCAAGCCGCGGCAAAGACGCCCGAGAAAATATTTTAACTTGGGTTTCGGCCTCTCGCGACGTGACAGATCATATTCAAGCGTGGTAATCTACTTACGTCATATCCCGAGAATTCCCCTTTTCCGGGCGGCCCCGGCGGACCTTGCGCTCCCTTTTCACCGGGTATTCCGTCCCGACCCGGCTCGCCCTTCTGACCTTGAGGACCTTCCGGTCCTGGTATTCCAATATCACCCTTGTCACCTTTCGCCCCGGACGGACCCTGCAGTCCTCTTTCCCCTGGCGGTCCTGCCGCACCCTGAAAATCATAACGTTACCCTCGTAATTAACCGCAATATCGTTCATGCACATTCGTAAGCGAAGCGCCGAGAATAATCTAATTTTAAACTGCGAAAATTAATTTTTTTCTGGAATAGGAGAAAAGAGTTCTGAATAATTTGTTGTTTGAATGACGACTATTCCTAGCGTTCTTGATAAAAACGTCATGAACGTTATTAGGACTTATCGCAGATTAAATTTATACTATTCTCAGCGCCTCGGTTGATGATAGCGTAGATTGGCAGGAGCAAAAATAGACATACCGTAAGACCCATTTGGCCCTGCTTGCCTTCTTGTCCCGGCACTCCCGGCTCACCCTTCGGCCCTTGTATCATCTTTGGCATCGTAAAGGAAGACATTAAGGCCGTGGCGTTGCAGGTGCAAGTGCCAGGGTCTCCCTTCTGACCAGGTGGTCCCTGCGGCGGTATCTTCATCAGCCAATCCTTTAAAGATCAATAGGTTTCATACTTTCTTCCTATCGTTCTTCATATATATAATACTGCTGTAGTAAATCGTATTTATGACATTACTTAGTATTAAATATTAACACTTTTACTACACAGTAACACCTATCTCGTAAAAAAATGTAATTCGTTATAAATCAAGCGGAACGACGAGCTACGAATTAAAATATTTCCATCGCGCTCCCCGATTTTGTCCCACGTCTGTTTTATCCGTCTAATTTCGCGCAAGAGATTATTAACTTCCTAGGGTGACGGTGCAATTGGATTTCGACGGTGTCGAAAACCGATTAAGTACATACACCGCGTGCGTAATAACGGCGGAAGATCGCGAGAGTTGCGAAAAGCCGGTTCGGTGTAATCAGTGTTACATGCGACGGACGCTGGTTCACCACTGTCCATGCTAAATTGACTCACGCGAATAACAAGATAAATGAGTGATTCCCGGATTCAGGCGTATTCAGGTCGCCTTCACATTGTGCCTACGCTACGCGCTCGCATCAGCCGCAGTGTTAAAGCGTGTAATGCAATATCTATCTATCTATATATAAACAAATTCTTCCGTCCTAATAAAACCGCAGCCCGCCGTGTACGCGAGTGAGTTCAATCAATTTCCTCCGTTATTTTCTGCCGTATCAGTTTTCGAATTATCGGCAAGTTTTCACTGCCGTAAGCGGCCACCTCTTTCATCGCAGTTGCCGATTACTAAAATTAGTCAGTGAAAGAATGAGTCGGTGAGCGACGCACTTACCTCATCGCGACCAGGTGGGCCCGGGGGGCCCGGAGGGCCCCTGACGCTCTCGCCTTTGTCCCCTTTGTCACCCTTCTCGCCTTTCGGGCCTTTATCTGAAAGGGGAATGCGCGAGCGTGAGTTCACGCAACTCCGTCGCCGCCTGTTTTGACACGCGGAGTGATTTATGCGCGCGAAAAGTAGATTAAAAAAGTTCGCTTCATATTTTATCATCGTTTCTTCGACGCGATACCTCCGTAGGCGACGCGACGGTGCGCATCGACGTCGGCAACGGCAAAATTAATAAACGATTTTTAACTCGCCGTCCTCGCCGAGGATTTTAAAAAAGGAAGGATATCGACGTCCCCCCGGTGCATTCATTAATCGAGAAGGCGTTAGACCATCCCGGAATATTGACGAGATCTATCGATTAAATTTGAAAGAACAATGACGATAGAGATTGATCGACTTTACGTATCATATGTATTCCGACGACGCGGGTGATTCTTCCGACGCGATGATACAACGCGGTACTTTATGAACGGTTAAAAAATTGTTACGGCGGTTTCCCGCCGGCTTTACTCACAATCCGGATTCGGGGGCGGGGGTGTGATGAATGGCGGCGGGTTACTCTCCTCGCTTTTGTCTTCGTCCGCATCACGACCGATCTGAAAACGTGTCACAAGCGTGCCGATAAAATCGGATTGCGCTATCTTGTCGGCGATACATAATACGACGATTTCGCCAGGCTCGTCGACGATTTGCCAATTCAGGATTCGATGCAGGTGAGCGGGGAAATTACACAGACGCTTTATTTACAGCGGCATTTAGCTGGGTCGAAGATAGCGAAATACAGCGGCCGGCTTATCGATCGCGCTCGCTGATTAGTTATTTTATATGCAAATTGCAGCTATGTATTAAGCCACAATATTGAAACGACGCGCGGGAATGTGTCAACTGTTTTTGATTAGCTTCGCGACAAATATTTGCCGAGTGTTTATATAACAATCAGTCAAATGCGAGTGCTTGCGTAACCCCAGTGAAATTCATGAAAACCACGTGGACGGGGGTTTTTTGCACGACGACGCGACGAGTATCGAGGTTGGTCTGAGGTGAATTCGAGTCGATGAGTAATTATCTGCGGTCGATCGTATTTAACAGTCGGGACGCGTGAAATTGAAGAAAGGATAAAAGGGGGAAAGTGGTGTGACAGTCGAGCGAGGGAAGAAGCGAAACATATTATCCACGACGACGCGAGGTAATCTCAGCGTACAACGCGGTACCTCGTTCTTACGCTTCATCATGTCCCGTCTCGTGATGACCTGCTATCGCAAATTATTAGTCAGTAGTATAAATGATCGCATGCGCCAGTTGCGAACAATCCAAGTGTCGAAGTAAAGTTCCTTGGACATGATACCGGACCGTCTTGTACGTTAAAAGCGAATAATACATCAAGCGGTGACGGTGATTAATGAAGTTCCAAGCCAATCAGGCAGTATGGTTAGCACACATGACACCAACCCTAAGTGTTTTCCGATAATTATCGGTAACGGCGGCGCTTTATCGGCGCCGAGTCGACGTCCGGTTAGAATTTTTCGCTGATCAAATGTTCTTGCGTTGTCGTAAAAAGATAAAAGAAAAGGCTTCATTTCCCGCCTTCGTGTGGCGAAAAACTGCCAAATTTCTTCGGAAATCCGTTGAGATTTTATGAAACCTCCGATACTCTCGACATTATCCGGCTATCCAGAATCACTAATATGAAAGATATCAATTAAATATTAGAGACAGCTGTTCGGGAAGATTAAATTAAATGTTTCACGAGACTCGAAAATAGCTTACCTCTTTCTGCGCAATTTTACGCAATCCTCGCAGTGACAGTGAGCTTTCGAATCAATTTATGAGGACATATCTCGAGCGAAATATATAATCGCGACAATGTATTATTATACCAGAGGTATTTCGTGCAAATCGTGTCAGTTGATGAGGTTCAAAGCGGGAAATGATATTTAAAGAGAATCGTATATAATAAACGATAGACTTAGCGTAATTATGATCTACATCGCATACATATGTATAAATCGATGAATACAACGCTGAATTCCGACTGATGCAGGAGCGGAAAAAGGCTTTGTATTTCAAACGTGTGTATTTTTGTCGGCGTGAAAAAAAAATAGCTGAAAGAAAACGCGATAAATATTTCATCCGCCGAAACTAGGTGACATCGCAATGGAGTTCGTTTTTGGGATGATCGATTCGATCATTTTGAATGGGGCGATTTGCGGCCGCCCGCTATGGAATACGCGATCACACAAGCGATATTTAATTCTCTCAGATTATTATTTTTCACAGAAACCGATATTTTTTTTGTCGGGCAACCAATACTTTTTTTTTTAAGCGTTTTAATGAAAGGAAACTTCACAGCAGGCTGTAATTCTCGTAACAATAAAGATTCTGATTTTTTTCGATCCCGGGTTTTGTAACATTTTTTTAACGAACGTTTTTAGTTACATCGCGTTTCGGGATACAGGCGCGCGCCCGCGTGCGCGTGCGTGCGAACAAAAAATACATTTGCAGCATCTGTCGTGCGATTGCAATAACGCGCGCGGTGTCGAATAAAATAAAAGGAGTATTCGCAGTATCTACTCGTATGTGTAACTTAAACATTTATTACGCAGCGGTTCACTTATTCCGCGTCACAGTGGATTTATAATTTCGCATTTAAATTAGTAGCTTTTATTATCGGGAGCGTAACAATTATTCACAAGTACGATGTACAAATATGACGGAAATTTAGAAAATAAAACGGCAATAATGCATAAATAAACATTATAATGCGTTATAATGGGAATCTACGGCGGTTCGCGGAATATCGTTATTACATATTTTAACACGGCCACAGAAAGAGAGAGAGAGAGAGAGAGCGCGTAGAAATACACACACGGACGCCGCGATAACCGATCGTTATTACCTTACTTTTGTATTCGTCCAACTTCGTCCAGATTTATGAGGGGCACCTACATAATAATAACCCCCAATTCTTACATTATTTCGGCACTCGCGACCGCGCGAGATTTACAGCGTACGGGCCGCCGGTAGTTTGAATAATTATGCATTTCGACTTACACACGAGGTTACATCGCGAACCGACGAAAACGCGCGCCCTGGGAATACCGGCGTTTCAGTTTCACGTGGCTGTTTGGCGAGGGAAGTTTCCGCCAGCCAGCTAGCTACCTAGCCAGGTAGGTGGCTATCCAGCTCTCCGCTACATGTTCGTCATGTTTAATTCGTGCTTTTTTTTCCATATACGATGTGGGATTACGCGGGCGCGAGCGTGCACGCATCCGTACACATACACACATGTAATGCGGATACACGCGCGCATTACATGCACGTACACGCGCGCGTAGACACGGGGAACTATGAAACGGACGCGTAACACCTGCCGCACGATCGCAGTAACACGTAGCGTCGTAACGACACGTCGCTCCCGCGAACGCTCCGGGCGTACCATTGAAATCGTTCACCCGGTACATACACCCTGATCAGCTCTCCCATGCACGACCGCGTCTTTGCATCCCGCCGTACATTCCCGGGGCTTTCCGCGAGAGTGGGATTTTACGGGTGAAATAAATTCCGCTCTCTCCGCGCGAAGAAAAGCCCCGTGCGAGCCCCCGCTGCGAACTTCGACTGAATTTCCAGGGGAACGCCGGAGGATCCTGCGAGGGATTCGGGATGACGCGGGATTGGTATCATGAGAATACGCATTTACCGTTATTTGTTCGATGTATCGCGCGAGCCCCATTGTCGAGCGAACGTTGTCGGCTGAAACATCGGATCAGCTTGCGGAGTCAATATATTGTTAGCTGTGCCCTACCGATACCGATATGGCGCTTTATTTAATTAAGGCGGTCATCGAAGTGCTCTGCAAATTTCCGAACTACATCGGAGAAACGTTCCAATCAATTTCGGGCCGAGCTGCAAAAATATCCGTGAGATCCAAGTACTGTTTTAGAGTAAATGGGACTCGAGGAATTGAAAAATCTAAAGTCAGAATTTCCGACCAGTCCTTTTCTCCGGAAATTAGTGAGAGTGATGGGCGATGGCCAGGTGAAATTATTTTCTAAAAGGCAAAAGTCAAAACTATAATTCAATAACAAGATCTAGGTCAGAATCTATTTTTATCAAAGATAAAAAAATTGTTTAAGATAGGTAAATTTGCTGTTCCCGTACAGAAACAGAGGAATGTAGAGGATAATAAAAAATAAATAAATATTATTTTCCGTGAGCATTTGCATTTAGCGTCAAATGATTTTCTGATTTTTCGATCGGGGTAATGTTTGAGAAATAACGTTCAGTCAATAACAGAGATAATGAAGCGTGTATTTTTCGTACCAAACGTGAATTGTATATCTGATTCCATAAAATATATGATTAACTGTGACCTATAACGGTTATAGAAGAAAAATGATTCTTTCGGAGTTTTAACCCTTTTTTATCAATAAATAATGTCAACCGCTATTGAAAAATATGTTATACTAATTCGAAAATAACTCTCATTCTTTAAATATATTTCATTAAATATACCGATCTGAATATACGTATTTAATGATAAAATAAATCGGCGAGCGACATCATCGTATCGGATGTTGAAACCGCGCCGTTCGAGCAGGCTAAAATATTCAGATCGTTAAAGTCGTAACGTCGTTGCACGTTAATAGTCACACTTAGCATACGAAACACTTCGCGACGTGAGGAATCGATTCTTCTTTCGTCGGCGATATTCGATCTGTTGAATACTGCAACCGCGCCGCGACGTATTTCGACGGTAGGAGTCGGTAAGAGCGTGTTAAAAATTTCGCGACGCGCGCCAGAACGAAAAATACGAAGAGCCATTTCCGGCAGACAGAGAGACTTCGGGGCGCTTCATGCCGAGGCGGGTTGACCTAATGAATTTAGCAGGCGGTAAAAGCACCGGCTACTGGATCGAAGCTGAAGACGGGTTCATCAAAATGCTATTGGCCTGACGCGAATCACCAGCCGCTGTGACACAAACTACCGGCCCAACTTCCGGCATACATATGGCGCACGTAGCGGATCGCCGATTCATTACGGAATACGGGTGGACGCAGGAGGAGACGAGCACCAAGAGGCTAGTCGTTCGTCTCTGTAGCGCGCGTTAGACGCATCGCTGCAGCCCGCCGAAAGTTAGCTCGCTGACCCGCGCACTCGTTCCCGATAGCGTATCGGGAACGCTTCTTTTCATCCGTATGTTCGATTTACATTAACGTCATACACTGTAAGCTTCGCGTCGTTTCAGGGATGCTCGATTGTCGAAGGACCGAGAAAGAGCCGAACGACTTTCGTTGCCAAATTAGCCGTTTCTACGCTACGGGAGCGTTTCTAAACTCGGCTTCGAAATTTATCAATTATCCGCGAGTTGGCTCTGCTCAAATTAGCTTTGGGCTATTGTTCCAGGAAAATTTGAAAAGTTCGCGTTTTGAATCTATATTGCACGACTCTGCACTCGGTTGCCGCATCTTCTTGAGCGAATCGAGTAACGGATTCCAACTTGTCTGTCAAATAGCACTCTCGGTATTTGCTGTATCACCCGTCCAATTTCGCGCGTTTCTTTCTTCGAAGATAAACTCGACGGTTCTGCTTAATTGATATGCGCGCTGTATCGAAGTGCGCCGAAATTTCATTGGGATTACGTTCAACTTCTTAATGACTGCGGATGGACGGCAAAGATGGAGCGGCGGGATATTTCGGGTGGGCGGCAATGCGAAATCCTAGGAGAATTTTAGCGATTATCCTCCTGGTATTTACGAGATTATCCGCGTAACCTAATTTCTCGCTCCTCTTTCTCGCTCGGCTTTTTCCTAATGGTCGACAGCTTTTAAGAAAATTCTCATTAAAACTTCGGTCCATTATAAGGATTAGTCAATTTTAAGGATATAAATCATAATGTCACCGGCTTACTGCCGCGAAATCAATAATCTATAAATGGGATAGGTTATTTAAGCCATTATTATACACTCTCTGAGTATAATTTGAGGTAATTAATTTGCTAATTATTCAATAATTAAATTTTGCTATAAATGTTTGGTAAATGTCATATTAAAGATGTATATATATACATATATGTACATATATACATTAAATTAAATTAAGCTATAGTTTAATATAATGTTCTATATAATGTTCTATGAAGCACAAGATACTTCGTTTTCATGTAGTTATATACGACTTTGGAATTAAACATATAAATCACTCTATTTGAAACAATGGGAGCGATTTCAAGAAATATTTGCAAAGCGTTAGATAAGCGAAGACAAGAAGGTGGAGTGAAATTTTGTTCGTTCTAATCTCTGCTATAAGTTATACGGGACACGTTCGTAAATTAAATGTCATTTCCTCGCTAGATGATGATTTTTACGGCGGCGCACCATGCACGCAAACTTTAAATCTCGTTAGTAAATTATCCAAATTTGACATCAACATTTATGAGTTAGTGGTCCAGGAGCGATGCAACGGATAATTAGTTAGTGCATATATTGTCAATATAGCGTCAATTTAACGAAGCCAGAGCGCAATTTGCGGACGGGCTCACGTCTACCTTATTCAAATCAGCGTCGCCGGAACCGTCGAACAAGTTGAGACCGTCGTAATCACCAGAGCTGAGCTCTTCGTCTTCTGCAAACTATAAAAAAATGTATCCTATTAGAGTGAACGAGATACCGGCAGGCATCGCACAGATCCTCGTTAGGCCAACGTAGGGAATATTTTCCATTTCCAAACGAGATCAAACGTTGTTATCTTCGGCGTGTCGAGCGCGTAATGTCGCTTATAATTAATCATATCATATTGCAAGAGAATTCGAAGTATAATTATCAACGTTGGAATAATGAAATATAATATGTGCTAGGCACGTAGGGGTATCAAGCGGCTTTAATTAATCGCATTTGAAATGATTTGGCATGCATCCTTCTCAAACATTCACGATTTATTCCGCACACGTATCAAAGTTGGCGATGGGAGAATAAATAATCGTTGCAGATTAGAGCGGCGCTTCACCGGGCGAAATTTTCTGTTATTGAAATCATATCATGCACGTTAATCGTATTGTGCGCGCGCGCGTGCGTCGCGCAAATAAAATATGATCAATATGATAATTTGAATTTTTCCTTTGATAATAATAATGCGCGTGTGCGTAGGTTTATTATCTCGCTCATTTGATGCTCGAATTAGGTTCATGCGGAATGACGAGGCGTATTGGATTCATAACGTTTACAGCGAAATATCACGTGTATTAATGAGTATCGTGTGGAGATTCCGCTTATAATTTACGCGTACGTTGATTCGATTTACTGTTCCATTGAACAATACTAAATATAGTAAATGTAATATCTTGAAAATAACCAAAAATCAACTAATATTGGATACGTACAAATTGGAGAGTATATCTCATTTTAATCAAAGTAGATTTACTCAAACATCCCTACACCAATTCTGCATATCATGTACCTGATATCAGATTCTATTCTGAATTCAATGGATTAACCCCAAAATTTCAGGTACAACGCATGAAATTCCATATTACACAGTTGCGTGTGTGCACATATACACAAATAAATACGTCTATCAAACTTGTATCGAGAAAAGCAGTCACTCACTAGATTCACTTGTTATATTCGTAATGATTAATCTGTTTCTATAGAATGTCATACGATAACTGAATTCATTGTCGTAGATGCATAATAAACACTTTCTGGTTTCCGCGATGTACATTGGCAAATTTAAGAAACAGAATTGATTCGGATTGAGATTCCGTAAAAAATGTCGACATTTAACCGAAGAATCTCGTATTGGACAGATATTACGCACTGATAATCTCAGATTTCTTTTTTTCGATACCTCCTTCACTAGTGCTCATTGATTTGCGCTTAAACATCGGCATTTTCCTGAAATTTCTCGGAACTGGTATCGAATAAACGTATCTTCAAGAGCGGAACACTCGAAGGAAAGAGCACTCGACCTCGATCACAGACAAGCCCGAAATATTCGATGATATAGAGGGATAAAATATCGTTGTATTTGCAGCGAGTATTTCACGGTATCGAGTGGGGGTTAAGACTCGAGTACGAGAGAACTAGTCATACAATATGCCGATTCACCTTTTCAGAGAGAGAGAGAGAGAGAGAGACTTTCTTATTATTTTCGATAACCAAATGTGACGAAGTATTAGCAAAAAAAAAACATATATAATTGTTTCAAGCAAAATCCGAAATTGATTCTTTTTTAGCGAGTATATGCCGAGCGAAAATATACTCAACAACTTAATAATTATGTTCTAAACTAAGATTTCGTTAAAACCAAAGAAAGTTTATATTTATTATCTGTTTTTGAACAAAAGCTTCTCCGCTTAATTAGGTTATATACGTAAGACATCAGCAGAATATCATTTCGAGACAATTTTGTCTACAAAAATTCTATTTAAATTTCGCAAGGTGCGATAATATGTTTTCCACTTTTTACCAATTTTGTAACTGTGTTATTCTATTATCCGTGTACTTTCGTCTAGTTGAGGCAGAAATGACTCGCTTGCGTGGGATTTAAGTAGCTTATCGTGCATTTTCATCGATGTCTTCTAAACTCACGCCCAAATACACACACACACATCGCGTGTTGCGCGGAAAAATCTTGCTGAAAGGATCTTTTAATTTCACGTCCCTCGGCGTTGAGAACGAGGATACGCAGCGTGAATCGCAGAGAAGGGGAGTGCAGAGTTGTAAAATCTCTTGGAGGTGGATGTTACGAGGCGGCGAGGGGATGCGAAAGGGTTGGGCTCGGCGAAATATAAATTCCACGGCATGTGAAGTGAACGTGAAATCCGCCCGTTACTCGCGCGATGCTAAATAGTAAAGCAAACTGAAAAATCGGCACACCTCCGGCTCGCCTCGCGCCGTACATACGTACGTAAAGTAGCTACTGATTTTACGGATTTCGTATTAGCTTCCAGTTTTCCGGGCTTTTTCCACTACCGAATTTTGCGCTGAAAGTCAACTATTGAAATAAAAAGGCGTGCTTTTCCGTTTAAATAAAAAGCAGAAAATATCGGCGAATACACGCATAGACAAGTGAAGCTTTTAATAAGGAGGACGTGTATGTTCCGTCTAAATTCTGCAAATTTATCGATATGAATTATATGAAAGAGCGCGGAACGAAATATGTGTGCGAGCAATTTCCTTCTTTTATATGCGAGAAAAAAATCAGTCACTTTATGGTCACACGTCTCCGCTATAACTTTTACGATACGCAAGATCCACGGTGGTTAACGTTATTTCCGATTGTGCGGCAAATTACCGTCGCTCGCGTACGAGCATGTACGGACTGTTTCTAAATTCATGGCCGCGAGCTGAAAATAACGATAATTCCAACTTGCCGCGAGTCGCGAAGGGAAATAAAGCGTGCGGTAACTCGATTTACGCGAGCGCTTCCGGGGTTTTCCCCTTTTTTTTTGCGCCTACCTCTCCCCCGCGGGATTTTATGCCTTTTTCGATACGCTTGAGTTTTATAGAAGAGCATTATCGGCATCCACGCGGTCCGCGTGCGTTTAACCGCGGCCGAACGGAATTTACACGCGGCACGTGCGAACACGAGGGTCCCTCCTTCGCGAATATCAAAAGACGCGTTTCATCGTGATTTCGAAGCTCGTCCCGTCGTTCAATTCGGCATTCACGGTACTTTTTTACACCTTATTTTCGACGGTTAGGAAAGCACGGAATCATATTATTTTAACGCGATATCTCCGATCCGTTCGTTAGTTAGACGAAGAAAAAAACTACTCACCGATACGGCGAATCGCAGTATTTTCTAACCTGTGATTTTGAAGGCTCGGAAAAATCCGGAATTTTTTCAATTTTTCCGCGGGTTTTTTCAGTTTTCTTTTTCCAAGAGGAGGAAAATTCGTCTAAAAAAATTCACGTGTGTTTGATTGAACCTGCCACTCTTATTTCTTTCCGTAAAGAAGATAATTGCGTGCGTTTAACTAAAGTTAACCTTCTGTACGAAAAAAAAAGTTAAATCAATGATAAATATTTTTATATACAAGTAAAAATATTATAACCTTAAAAGATTTGTATTCTTGATTCGATTGAATTTGTATTGATGCAAGTATTACTTGCATTCAGTTCAAGACTAAAAATCTTCGAAGAATATAATATTCTTGCTCATATATGAGAATATCTATTATGTGTAGATAATATTATTATATACGCAATACATCCTTAGCAAAGAAACCGAAAAAATCTGCAGAAAAATGGAAAAGAACCGGTTTCTTAAATTATAACCTAACCTTGACGATGACCTTTCTTCGTTTCGCCGAACGTTGTCAGCACGCCACGCACCGTAATTAACTTGAAAGCACTCAACGTACGTTATATCTGATACTCGTTCGCGTGATTTACAGAAAAATTCGGGATAGCGAGCGGAGCGCCGCGAGATGAACACAAAAGAGTCTATTCCTTTCAGCTGCGCTTCTTATACTTTCCCGTAAGCTTTCTCTTTCCTTCTCCTCTCCCGCTGAATCTCAGATATATTTCGAATAGATCTCTATTTCGTTTTAACTTACAGAAAGTGCAACATAATGTAATGAAAAGGGAAAGAAAGGGGATGAAAAGAGATGGAAAGATTTACCAACCGTCCTAATCAAATGAGAAACTGAGAATCGAGTAGTAAATACAGAATCGCAATAAAACTAATTTTACCAATGCAGACACGAGTCAATAATCCTAAATAATTCACAAGAATTTAATCAACATTAAATAATAAACAGCCACGTCGTAACGAAATATTTAATTATCTCGATGTAGCTGGTGCAATTAATACGACTGAGAGAAAATATTAATCGTAATACGATACAAAGTACTAGTGAGATTTATTAAAACTTAAATATCAATAATGTTAAAAGGCACGAAAACACAGTAATAATTGTTGTGGCAGCGGTTTTACTCGGACACTCGGTTAGTTTACTCACGAACGTTAGCAAGTGAGCGAGTTTTGATTTGACTCACTTAGTCACTTCGAAACTCTCACGCAGTAGTGCACTTGAGATCGCGCGAGCTACGTGATCGTCGATAAACCCGGACGACAATCGACGTAAGTTTCTAATTATCACGCGGTATTGAGGTATACGATAGACTCGTAATTGAGACGCGTGTTAGACTTCCATATTCCGGTAACGATTATCGTGTCGTTGACTGCATGGAAGAACTGAGGAACGTGAGGCGTGCCCGGCGTCATTCGGCGACATTTTACAAACGACCGTTACACTTCGCGTTGCTCCTCCGTTAGAAATCCGTCGATTTCGACGGATGATTTCACGAAGATGATCGGCAACGGACGGACAAACGTGGGTAAATAATCGCCAGGAATGTCGTATGAAGTAACTTGCGATCGTTACGAAGTTAGATACTTGGCTCGCGTTCCTGGACTTTAGCTACGGCTTCCGCGAAACGCGATAGCGTGTGTGTGTATTGTGTGTGTGAGAGAGAGTTCCGAGAACGACGAGGATTGCAGCTTGAGATAAAGGAGAGCAGTTGGATTATACGAAAACGAAAGGGCCGTATGTCGTGACAACACATCGGTCGGTAAGTTAATATTTTTATTATATTACTGCACGGTGAAATAAGTGATCTATTC